TGCTATCAGGTTAGAAAATGTACATTGTCAAGGTTAGCAAGATTAGGTTAAGAGATTATCAACAAGGCTATGAGTATTGTTCTAATTTTACAAACTGATGTACAAAATTACTAAATACACTGGTGGACATACCAACTGCTAAGTACCTAATACCAGCTCAGTAAAAAGAACAAGAAACAGTCATGCCTTCAAGTACCAGAGTTATCAACCAAGGATTGAGGTGTTCAAAATCTCATTTTTTTCCTAGAACTATCATATAGTGGAATTCGTTGTCACCAAGTACAGCAGGGGCCATTTATCATTAGATAGCTTTAAAGAAGGTTTAGAGTTAGATGTTCAAGGGTTAGGTGTATCAAGTAGTTCGGTGTAATGTAGCCAGCTGCCGCTGCGCCACATGCCTGCAAAGTGTGTTATGCTGAAGGGATGTTACCGATATACCGGCTAATATACAGATACAGAAGGTTAGCAATGGAGTTTAACAACTTGAAGGCAATATTGTTAGCAATATATATTAGGTAATATTTTTCTCATTTCCCCAGCAACTGATTTGATATCTTATAATAAGAAATAGTCCTCACCATGTCTTCTTTCTCCTTCTGCTTCTCTTTGAGCATCTTCAGCTGCTGCTTGGGCGAAAGGTCAGCGGAGTTCACGTCAATCAAGTCACTTTCCAGGATGTTTGAGCTAGCAGTAGTCACAATCGGTGGCTGTTGCTCCGGTAGCTTGTCGATGACTGCTGTAGCTGATTGTGTCAGGGCTGAATGTAGATAATCGGGGAACAAAATTAACATTAAAAAATTATATAAATCTGAGAAGTGCTATTATATAATAATGAATAATAGTGCATGAAGAGTATTACACATGTAGCTCATTTTTGTGGAGAGTTGAATATCACATCCAAATAGATACAACTTACATTTTGTACAAATCTATTTTTTTCTTACAGACAGTCTTACAGAGATCATTCAGTATATGAAACACTTGCTATCTATTGATTCTTAACTATTTGTATCTTCACAAAGCAACAAAGTACCATTTTTCAAACAAGATACAACATTTAATCTTAAGATAACTATCTTTTTTCTTACAGAGATCATTCAGTACATATATGAAACACTTTGAAGTTATTGATACCAAAAAAGAATGCAAACATTCCTGGACAATTCTTGTAAAGTTCTGGGACTCCAACCAGAAAATGCAAGAATTGAAATCAAGTACACATTATTAGCAATTCTTACCATTGGCTATATTAGCCATGTCTGTTACTGACGCACTCTGGGCTCCTCTTGAAGCACCAGCCAGTTTGTCTATCAGTGCTGAAGCATCCTTCTGCATAGGGAAAATATTGTACATTCTTCTTTTATTGCTGTCGTCACTAGAGGGCATGCCTATAAGTACCAGATACAAAAATCAACTTCTTCCCTGCAAGAACAACCCAAATTTGGAACAAACTGTCACCAGCCACAGTAAACAGCAGCTCAGTAAATGCATTCAAGACCAAGTTGGCTATAGAATGGAAGGACCACCCTGATAGATATGGATAATAATTATGTCTTCTCCTACTGAATGCCCAAACGAAGACGGCCTCATTACCCAGTAGGGTACCTAATGGCCTGGATTCAGGTGAATATTCAGGTGAATATTATGATATACAAAATGTAATATCAAAATGCAGAGAGTTTAGGCTAAGCGTGTTCCAATTGAGTCACTGAGAGAATTTGGGAGAGGATCAAATTTCATAATTATTGCATTCTGAACTATATATGACCCCACACCTCACTTGACTCAGCTCCCCTTTCACTACCAATGATATATTCACTCGCTCGCTCACTCACTCACTAACTCACTCACTCACTCACTCACTCACACACTCACTTATTCACTCACTCACTCACCCACTCACCCACTCACTCACTCACCCACTCACTCACTAACTCACTCACTCACTCACTCACACACTCACACACCCACCCACCCACTCATGATCACTCACTCACTCACTCACTCACTCACTCACTCACTCACTCACTCACTCACTCACTCACTCACTCACTCACTCACTCACTCACTCACTCACTATCTGGTCTAATGTCTGTTGTTTCCTGACTTTAGACCATTAAACATGCTTGCACAGCAATACTGAGGCTTGATGGCAGCCCACCAGTTGCCTCTGTCTTGTGAGTTGATGTCATGTCACTAGCAATGATAAAAAAGTTTGTAGAATAAAACTACTTGTCAAGAGTGTTGTGAAGTAGCGTACCATTGCTGATAGTGACATGGACGACTTGGCACTGCCACTGATTGTGAGGACATCATTGATGCAGTTCATGGCAGACAGGATGTCCTCTAGTTTTGCTGATTCCAGCTGCTCTTCATCAATCCCTTGTAGAATATGCTGGAGCTGTGCAGAAATATTACAAACTTAAAGGCGAGGTCCAATACTTTCCATTTTGGGGCTGGTTTGGGGTCAGAGTCACTACTACTGTCTGTCTGTTGCTCAAAACGGAAGGATTGCACAGCCGATCCCGGTCCAGAAGCAGCCGCCATTGTTCACGCTAGTAGCAGAAATTAACCAGTTACGTCACAGTTACAGTCGCTGCGCCACCTAGCGGACAATCGGGCGTTAGCCGAGGAACATGCGAGCACGTCAGATATAACCACAAATATGTGCGGGGTTGGCAGACACCAATAAATCACCATTTACAAATAGGACTTTGGGTAGAAAGGCCCCAAAATTGAAAGTATTGGACCTTGCCTTTAAAGCTGTATGGAGTTTCAAATCTGCCATCACAATGAACTTCCATTCGAATGTTGCGGACGTATTTGCATGTATTTTTCAATTATATTAAGGATAGAATCAGGATCATTACTTGTGTAGAGTCTTGTTGGAAAGACTTTACCTTTTCGTCAGGACTTTCAGTTGTTTTGGCTGGAAATGTGCTGTATGTCGTTTTATCTGAAAGTCAAGTTTATAATAATCATCATGACATTATGTTGTGAACATCTATTAGCCTAAGGTAAATACTACTAGTATGCTGTAACTATTAGGTAAATACTACATTCCCCTTACTAAGAGAAGGGTCCAATATACACGAGAGTTAGTGAATGCAAGTATCATATATAAAATTCAGTAAAGGATTCTCTTGTCTAGCTGAGATAAAATTTACAGCAGCTATACCTATCATGTAGAGTTAATAGTAAATGTTGATTTGTATATCACCTAGGGGCCTTTCCTCCTTGCTGGTACTGTAGACTGTAGTGGTTTGTCGGTCTGTTGTTCTGACTCCATTGTCTGTTGTTCTGACTCCATTGTCTGTTGTTCTGACTCCATTGTCTGTTGTTCGCTGCACTGTTGTTTCAGTGGAGGTTGCTATGACAGATGAAAATTGAATTTTGATGACTATGTATATTAGTTTTAATGTATTTATAGCACAAACATTGCGTTGTACCTGTACCTGTATCTGTATATGAATAGCTGGTAACATTATAACCACCCTTCGGTGTAACAAACAGGCATACGGCATGCCAGCAGCAGGTTATTATATCATACTGATCTCTAAACAGATCTTATGGTAGCCTGGGTGCCATCCTATTAAGGAGCGAGTATGGAAGCCCCAGCATACACATAGGATGGCACCCAGGCTAATCTTAATGTTGCTGCAATACAGCATAAACTTAGCAACACAGCAGTACTACCCAATATGACAGGCTGTATATAATTTGCCACCCAATTGGGTACTAGACACTGCCTGACATACCCTGTATTAGATACTGTCTTGCCTATTTGATACTAGTACTGTATTAAAAGATCCGGTACTAATAAGGCCAAGGGACGTCCCAGGAAGACATGGATAGAGAGTGCATGTGAAAGACACCCTGTATATAGTATACAGCATATTCTTAACATAAGAGTCAGAAAAATAATAAAATCATTGTTGTTATACATGTAGTACTTTTCTTTAGAAATGAAACATAATTAGCTTTTCCTGACATTCTACTTATTTTATCATATATGGTGCACCCAAAAAAAGTGCACCTATTCACAAAAATAAATTTTGAGCCCTGTAAAGTAAAGTTAAGTAAGTAAAAGATCTGCTTGAAGATTTACACCTACATTGTAACCTTCTCACATCTTATATACTGTAAGCAAGCGTTGTTGGAAGCTATCTAGTGAGGGAAGATTACCTGTTGTACGTTTGGTGGTGGACTGGAAAGATGTGGAAGTGACTGTGGTGTCTCTCCATGTAACACTTGTATGGGCCTCAGTAGTAGCACGGGTTGATGTCGTGGGGTGATCAACGGGTAACGGTAGCGGCCCTTTGCACAGAAACAGGATACTTCAGTCATTCACATGTGAATCAGTAATGGACATGGTTTGGAATGAAATGAAAAGTGAGAGATATTGTGTGTGTGTGTGTGTGTTTGTGAGTGAGTGAGTGAGTGTGTCAGTGAGTCAGTGTGCATGTATAAGAGTGTGTAGATGTATGTGTGCATGTGTGTGTATGTGTGTGTCAGTGAGTAAGTCAGTGTGCATGCGTATGTGTGTATGTGCTTGTCAGTGTGTGTGTGTGTGTGTTTGTGTGTGCATGCATTTGTGTGTGTGTGTGAGTGAGTGTGCATTTGTTTGTGTGTGCGTGCATGCATGTGAGCAGGTACATGTAATTGAAACTTCTTCCTTTACAAAGTCTGTGCATCCCGTACCTGTTTGTTTTGAGCAGGTAATTTCCACGCTTCGGCCATGCTCACCGACAGCTGCCATCTTTATGATGTAATGAGTCTCAGGCAGAAGTTCTGTGATGTTGTAGGATGTTTCAGACCCATCCACACTGAAACAAGAATGTCAAAATTTCAGTATCCCTGACTTGTATAACATTAAACAAATGTTATTCTACTGCAGAATCCATAATTTTCAGTCGTATTTTGTGTTTTTAGTCAGGTGACTGACTGTGCTGTACAGTGCTGACAAACTGTCATGACTCTCAGAGTATTTTGCTAATTGCTTATTGTTTATTTGGATTTTCCACAAAGTGAAAGGGAAGGGAATACAGGTGCATATGCACCTTAACAAGTTCCCCTTCCCCATACAAATACACACAACAACATAGTCAAAGTCAGCAATATATAAAAATACACAAAACAGATGATGAATTAGTTAAGTTAAGCATACTTGATTAAAGTAATTAAAAGAATTTGTCTTTCTGCACAAAGCATTACGAGCCTCTCTCCAAACATCAGAGTTACTTTTAAGTCCTGGCAACATGCAATAAGAACATATAGCATAACCAATTATATAATTACGTACATTGTAAGGCAGTAAGAGAGTACTTCCACCACTTGAACCTACATAACATCAACCCACATAGAGGCAAGTGGCAGGCTGCCATCAAGTCTCAGTAGTCAGCAGTGCAAGCACGTCTTAACCTTGGAAGACCTTGGATAAACCGGATAGTGATTGTGAGTGAGTTACCTGAACAATTCTTCGCCGAATGTCTGTGAAACCGTGACCTCGTATGACACCACCCTGGCCAGGGGAGCCTTCCATTCCAGGACCATCCACGTCGCAGACCAGCTATTGACCTCCACAGCTGACGGTGGGTCAGTGTCTAAAAGTAAAAAATACATAATGTCAACCCATGAAAGATTGTGATAGCCGCACTATGTGGCCTCTGATTCCATTATAAGTAAACGGAAGAAATCTGAGATTTTGGACTTGTTTGGGGTTTCCATATTACTGTAAAGGGGATTGTATGATGTAATCTAATTGGTATAACAATTGTACTAAATATAAATCAACAGTTACTGTCAAAATTACCCCCCACTCTCTAGCAAACCTGTTTTCATCCTGGAATCCAAACATATTAACATCCCCCGAAGCCAGCTCTGCCCAACAATACTTCTGTCCAGGAAGTAAAATCAATTTCCCGAAATGATAAGAAATTGCAGGAGCTGGAAGTTATAAATCACCAACCGGGGACATAAATTATGCATTCCTCTCTTAGACTAGTGTTTGGTGACATGTCAAGCAGTCACCCGATTAAATTTCACAAATTCCTGGAGATGTGGTCCCATCACTAACCTGTAATGACACTTGTGGTGACAGCGACGCTCCTCCCAACCCGGCTAACGGCCACCAAGGCGATGTCGTACCGCGTCCCGGGGATCAGACCTGTCAACTCACAGCTGTGTGCGTCTCCTGGACAGGTCACGGATGTACTTTTTCCACCGCCGGTGTAGCTAATGGAGTACTGGACGATCACACCTTTCGGAGGCAGCCACGAGATGACAACTGAGTCAATTGTCCTGTCTTCAACATCCAACACAGAAGGAGGTTCCGTTTCTGAAAATATACATAGTAAACACACATGAACATGTGAATACAGCCTCCAGTTTAATTCTGGACCCCTTCCAGTTTAATTTCAGAACAATTCCCATATCTCAGCAACCTTAAATCTAGATGGGCTAATATTGTAAACTACCTGTAGGTAAAAATGATGTAAAAAAATCCACAAGGGGTCCTTGATGGCTACCACGTATTTCTTACATCATTTTCACTTTACGATATACATGTAACTTACAAGGCCATTTAGATGAAATATGGGAATTAAAGCGGAAGGGGTTAGTCCAGAATTAAACTGGAGGCTGTTACAGTGTAATCTATGTGTGTATTAACATATTATGAATCATAGTATGCAAGTAACTTATAGAACATTCAATTTGTTAATTTACACTTTAAAGAAAAATATTAACGAAAAAAAGGTTCACAGTACCTGTTACAGCAGTGACTTGGACTTCCGGTCCTTCGATGTACGTGTAGATAGTTGTTGCCGATATGATGTACTCTGTGGCTGGTACCAGGTCCTTGAATGTTACTTCCGTCTTGCTGATCGAGAGGTAATGAGTGAAAAGGTCATCAGGTGACTCCCATTCCATTATCCACACTCTGTAGCCGATAGCGATGGGGCTGGTGGCTGCTGTCCACGAAGCTTTGACTGTTGTACCAGTGATTGTCGTTACTCGTAAATCCTCAGGGGACGGCATCGCTGTTTTGAAAAGACATATTACAGTGAAACTGTGTGAGGGACATAGCCTCTACCAGGCACCGCGGATCTCTGGAAAAATAGAAGAAATTGGCCAAAATAAAAGAATAATAATAAATACAGTAAATGTAACAGTGAGACTGAGTGAGGGGCATAGCCTCTACCAGGCACCGCCGATCGCTGGAAAAATAGAAGAAATTGGCCAAAATAAAAGAATAATATACAGTAAATATAACAGTGAAACTGAGTGAGGGACATAGCCTCTACCAGGCACCGCCGATCGCTGGAAAAATAGAAGAAATTGGCCAAAAATCATTTCAGTTGAACATCAATAAAGATACCCAAGGCAAGTTATAATCAAGTATCAACCTACTGTTGGAATAAGAGTTTTATAAACATTTTCCATAAATTATGCACATGGGGTCCTGATTTGATTTTGTGAAGTTATGTTTTATGATGTTCACTTTGAACATCATTAAATGCCAAATGCCACAACTTCAAGTATGTCACAAGTTTAAGTACATGTAGCCCTGACCTCCTTTGTAGGCAATGCAGGTGAAGTTGGCAGTTTTTTTTGGGTGGGTGAGGGGGCACTGATTTTTCTCCCCTCAGTGGGATGGGCGTTGTTTGGGGGGGGGGGCGTCTGATTTTTCACCCCTCTGTGGGATGGGCGTTGTTTGGGGGGGGTCGTCTGATTTTTCTTCCCCTCAGTGGGATGGGCGTTGTTTGGGGGGGGGGCACTTGCTAGGCTATTTTCTACCATATCTTGATCGCACATGGTTCAAATAGAAGGAATGCTGCCCTCCTATCTTACATTGTAGCGTAGCATGAATCTCAATTTTTACATGGTCATGTTCACATTGTGCTCCCATTTGTTCAAACCGAGTTTGAAGCGAATCCATCCATCCAAAGCTGTTTCAATTGAAGTTGACATTATTTACTTCCATCTTCTTAGCGAATGACCTGGTCCACTTACTTCTGTCTTTTTAGCAATTATGACCAGTATTCCCTAAAAATGTCGGCCCTCACAGAGCAGAGGCCACCAAGTCCACCACAACAAGGACATTCAAATAGGTGTACCCTGAATTTCTGCAAAGTTTCCATGCTTTTCAGGCCAAAGCTTGACGTTTCTGACTTAGACAGAAGAGATGCTGCTGTTGTGAGCACCCTAGAAGTGGTCCATGTGGCCTTTGCACTGAGCAATTACTCTGTCATCAGCGTGCAAAATACCTGATTGCCCAGTTGCCCAAGGCAACCAAATTTTACTTGGGGCAACCTTTTTTTGAACCTAAGTAGCCCAGTGTGCTACTTGAATTTTAAGAATCTCCCCCCCAAATCATGCCCACTTGCCTTGCACCACTTGGCCTGCTCCGTCAGATGCTTTTTAATTTTAGGTATTAATAGCTATTACTAGTATCAGTTAACTAAAGGCTGTTAGAAATATTGTCAAAGGCTTATGTATGTAACATAGTAACTTATCGGTGGGGCAACCTAAAATTCTGATGGGCAATCTAATTTTTGCCGTAGGTTGTCCAGTGGGGCAACCTGGTTCAAAAAAGTATTTTGTACATTCAAGGTCATTTAAAAAAAATCTGTCATGATCCTTACCAACAATCCAGTTGGCGGAGAAACCCATGCCACTGCTGCTGAAGTCTGAGCAGAACTTGACAAACATGACGTTACTGGTGGACTGTACGGGTTCTGGGACGTTGTTGGCACAGTAAGAATTACTGGCACCAAGAACTGGATCATTCTCATCATCTCCATCTCGAATCTAAACAAAAAAAAAACAGAATTAGTACATTACAAATCATTTCAGTTGAACATCAATTAAGTATCTGGAAAATTATCAGTATTTTCAGGGACCACAGAAAGTGCATAATAAAACAAAATGGAACAAAATAATTGTGTTACAAATTTTGTTTTCTTTCATTCCATTTCCTTTCATTTTGCACTTTCTGTGCAGTCACTGACAGTGGTATTTTCAAGTGGAAGATTTTTTTATGGTTTTAAATTCTCACAACTAATGTTGCTTTAGTGTGAATAAAATTGTATGAAAAAATAATAGAAGTAGTGTAACTTGATACTGGTACAGTATGAATACTTAGTGAGGTATTTTGGACCTGTATCTAATCAATTTTTACAGTACAGTACCAGTAGACAGTACCGGTACACAGCTCTAGTACCTACCAAGACGTAGTCGTAGATACAGTTGCTGTGAGCTTCCACAAAGAAATTGGGGTCAAAGTTGAGTGACACATGGTAGCCAGGGTCCACATTGATGGTCCACTCACACTCTAGGTTGTGTGGATAGTTCTGGGGGTAGTTTGGACTCATGAGGGTACCAGAGTTACCATGGAGAATTCCTCCACAGCCTAAGAAAAACAAACAAAAAACTAAAACTACTGAAATTATAGTAAACTAGAGTTCAGAGATCCCATATCTTCGTCAAGGATCATTCGTTGTTTGACACGATTGTCTAGTATGTTTATATATTTTAGGAGTTATTGCTTTTAGTTAAAGACAGTTACATGCTTTAATAGACCAACCGTGTATGGTGAAAAACATCTGTCCCACCATGATATATGGCCATTAGGTCGTTGACCTAAAGGGAAAACATCTACCACAACCAAACAGCTGTCCCACCCTGTTCAATTCATAAACTTCCATCCACAGATACCCTGGGTACCAAACTAGTATCGGGCCGTTAGCCGTTTTCCTTCGGCAGCCAAGAGCCCTGCGCCCGCCTATCTAAATTACCGCTAGGGGGAGTTGAGCCCGAGGGGTTTGTCCGGCTCTACAACTACTGGAGGGCGGCCAAGCCCCCCCCCCCGGGCTAGACTCCCCCGTCGCGGTAATTTAGACCGGCGGGCGAAGGGCTCTTGCCGCCCGAAAGACGAGTTCTAGCATCCAGGCCAATCCACAGATAAACAAGTTATCCTTCTAACAAAAAAAAAAACAAACACGGAAAATGCCCCCTGCAGTGAAGTTTTTTGATTTAAGGTACTGTTACTTAAAGTTAAAAAAATGATTGTTACCAAAATTCTGCTTACTGTAAATTGTAATAAGAGAAGATGTGATGAAAGGCAAGAATCAGAACAGGACGAGATTTATTGCTGTTTTCGTTTGTTGATAAACTATGTCCCTTTATTCTATTTGCATCCTATTGTATTTCCACTGTTAGTATATTCCAAATCTATGCATCTTATTTAGTCTTCTTCGGCCCTTCATGTATTTTATAGCGCATTTGCAATAAATTTAGGTCTCCAGTGGACATCAACCATAAAGATTACTTGGTCTGGCCTTAAAATTTAGGGAATGACCTGAGCCTGAGGCATGTCCAACATTTCCTCCCCCCACAGCTGTTACAGGACTGCCCCTAGACACGGCCTATATTGTACTCTACTATCTACTAATTGATTCCAGATGGGAGGGCCAGCTGTCCCCATGCAGAGTTAGGTGGGGGAAAATCATTATATATCTAACATAAAAGGTCCACTACAGCAACATAGGGACCCCCCACGAGGCCCGTTTTCGAACTTGATCTTGGCCTATACAATAGTAGTTTGATTACCAAAAATCATGAACATCTATTAAAATGTACTCGAGTTATTTTGTTAACAAGCAACAAACACAAAAAGTGCGCTAACGTGACGTACGGACCCCCCACAAAGCCCAAACTTGCACTTGGCGTCAGTCTTAACAACGGTAATCTGCCTGCCAAAAATCACGGACGTCGAATCATGCCTTCCAGAGTTATATCGATAAATCCGCAGTCACCCGCACTCCGGCGAGACAAATCCATAATCTTCTTGACGAAGATAATTATTGAAATTAGGTCTTTGATTTGAAGAATGAAAATCTTCCACCAGATACCTAAGCCAATTTAATTAGAAGTACACCAGTTGAGGGGTCATGTGAACATAACGGTTTCAAACCAAGGACCTTAATTGACATTTACATGTCCTGGTCTTTAATTTGCAAACATAACTATTCCTTTAGATACCCAAGGCAAGTTATAATCGAGTATCAACCTACTGTTGGAATAAGAGTTTTATAAACATTTTCCATAAATTATGCACATGGGGTCCTGATTTGAATAAGTTATGTTTTATGATGTTCAGTTTGAACATCATTAAATGCCAAATGCCACCCGACAACTTCAAGTATGTCACAAGTTTAAGTACATGTAGCCCTGACCTCCTTTGTAGGCAATGCAGGTGAAGATGGCAGTTTTTTTTGGGTGGGTGAGGGGGCGCTGATTTTTCTCCCCTCAGTGGGATGGGCGCTGTTTGGGGGGGGGGCACTTACTAGGCTATTTTCTACCATATCTTGATCGCACATGGTTCAAATAGAAGGAATGCTGCCCTCCTATCAAGCACTCGTTGGCATCTACACACTCAGAAAAAATCTGAGCTAATATTTCTATGTAGAAAATGTATCCAAACTAATTTCTACCAAATAGAAGTTGTGTACTTATGTTTCCTCTGTGATGATGTATTTTATCATTACGCTATTATTTAAACAATCATGCATATTCATGCCTAGAAAGTTTGTACTTTAGAACTCCAGTCAGAAGCTGTGAGGAAGGTTCCTGACAGATACCAAAACATCAGCCATATGGTGAGAAATCCTGGTTGTGTAAAAGAAAACTCCTGTATCCTATTGCGGCTAGTATTGAGTGCAAAGAGCCATTTGAAACTTACCGTTACACACTCTCCAGTGCGCCCCGCTCCCAGGCGTCCCCCATACGCTTACGCTCGCCTTGCCGCATGTGTAACCAGTTGAACAGGGCCAAGTGTCGCATGCGTGTCTGAACAGGTACTCTCTCTGGTTTGAGAAATAACAAACAGTTTACAGACGTCACAATCCAGTAATTTCTATGGTGTGGCTTGTAACAACTACATCGAGCATGAGTAACCGTATTTAGGTGCAATGAGGACTATTTCAAACGTTTCGCTTTAAGTTAAACTGGTGATAAGAAGTGATGAAATTGTTTGGAGTTGTGATTGACTGATGTCTACATATTATATAGCCTAGAGATACATGCACGTTTTCTCTAAATGGCATCTGTTTGTTGAACTTCTAAAATGAGTAAAAACAGGGCACAATTATTTGTTGAATTTTGAACGCCTTACCGACCCTTCGTAGCTCAAGACCTCGTCAACTTCTTCGAAGGAACAACCTTCAATATAACACTCGCGATATAACGACCTTTTTCGTCTTGATGGCATCTCAAGAAAATCGTTTGCTTCCTTCTCGGTCCGGAAGGGTGACGAGGCACCATTGGCACCAGGCTGGTCGTTTGCGCCTGAACTGTGGAAGAGTATATCAGAAAAATCAACACAGAGTGTTTGGCAGCAATCTAAAGATTCTTTTCTCTAGCAAAAAACGGATTAATACGTTTTGAGATAACATCTGGAACCACCATGAAATGCTCCAGGAATTTTGTTTAAAATTCGTATTTTTAGCGTTAGGGTAAGATAATACCAGGGTGCAGCTAATAGCAGTATTTTGACTTATGAACACTACCAAGTGTTCTTAACACTTAAAACAGCAGCACCGGTATGATATTTCTTACTCTACAGTTGTAACTATATGAAGGTTCCTAATTTTAAATGTCATAAACAAAAGAATGGTATTTAAACTTACCACAAAGCCAAGTGAATTGTCAGCAAGAATATGCCCAGGCAGCACAGCGGCAAGGGCCGGGTAGTTTGTAACAATCCCATGTCTTTCTGTGTATGTGAAAACAAATGTCTTTAGTATTACAGGTCCTATACATGTCTTTTGTGCTGATCTTTAAAACATTTTACAGACATTTGAAACTTATCCATCCATAATTCGGCCACCTGTAAGAAAAGAAAAACAGGCAATCAATACCACAGGGCACAATGCAGCTGTAACGTGACACAAGAGCCTGCGGTCGACCCTTATATTACTGATGATCGGTTCTGTTTCAGTCTGCGGAAAACCCTGACAAAAAAAACAACTGCACGAGAGATGCGACTGCGGTTTAACTTACCAAAAAGCAGTTACTCAAGCAACTGGATATGATTTTGGAAACGTCAGTCGTTTGAGCTAGTATCCACTATCTTTCGTCAGTGACTGAGATACCAGAGGAGAAATGCAAGTTTAACATGTACCACAAGTTACACTATCTAGCCTCTATGTAAGTGGTATGTACCACATGTGCCACAAGTTACACTAGCTAGCCTCTATGTAAGTGGTATGTACCACATGTACCACAAGTTACACTATCTAGCCTCTATGTAAGTGGTATGTTACTTACAAGTTTTCTGCTGTTTGTAAGGAGAACCAGCCGTAGGTTTCCGTGCGGAACCAACAGCCAGGGCTCTTTAACTGATAACAGATCGCCCCTTTGGCTTCGTTTTCAACATATGGAGATTAACGTAATGTAAAAAGTGGTATCAGTGGTGTCTTCCCACCTTAGCAACCTTGTCTGCCTCGTGAAAGCAAAGATATGCATATGACACTCGACAGACACAATAAAGGATCGACAGGGATAAAGTTAAGTTCTGCATAGGACGATGCCCGTCTCCGTTTACCCTGGAAGCCAGAGTACGCGGGTCGCGGCCGGTTTGATCGGCCCGCCAAGCACACGATCCAGCCGGCCAGAGAAGGTTAGCGCCCCCGCAGTGGGTCTTTTTGGGGAGAACTAACTGTCTTGCTTGCTGTGTTTTTCATTGTTCATGAGGTGTCTGTCAGAACGTCTTTAGCAAAAAAACTGTGAAAACTCGCATGCATATAAAAAGCACTGCACAAAGCCAGGGCAATTTAGAGGGCGAGACGCAATTAATTAACGGACATATGCTAATATCTTTATAAGTACACATTGTGCTAAACAAAAGACTGTCTCCTAGGGATGTCTGTACCTGACGTGCATGTGACGAGACTATGGATATAAAATGTCTATCTTGGGTTATTTCGATGTTGATTTTCGATAAAATGTTAACTTAATGTTCTTCCAACTGGCCTTTGTTCAGCAATGTCTAAATCATATATAATGTCCGCTAGCCGTTTTATAGACATGTACAGTTTGCATTATAATTGTTTACTCCAGTCGCATGCAACCTTTGTACAAGGAGGGGTGGATTTTGTGAGTCTCTAACTATACATGACCACACCCAGTGTTGTGAAGACATCAAAGGTGGTTGCCATGGTTAAAAAACAACAATTGCAGCCAGAATTGATATGCAATGTACCGGAAGGTTGCATAGTCGAAAAGGCCTCTGATGAAATAGAAAATTAAATTCTTTTTCCTTTGTTGCCTAAGCTTTGTGGTGTCCATTAGGTAAATTAAACCCGCCCATTTCTAATTTTCTAGGATTAAGTGCGTATTATGAAATGTTTAATAATTCAGTCATCGTGCAGCGTAGTGAATAGAACTTTTGGCGCTCAACACCGGGCCCCCTTAAGTGCCCCAACAGGGGCTATATGGGGGTGTAGCCGGGGCTCACATAACACCTCAGATCCCCGGCAAAAATGAAGATGAAGAGGAGCAGAGGGGCATGTCCGAACATGTGCACCGACGTTGTGCCCTTGGGAAAGGCACTTTACACGTTTTCCCCCTCAATTAGAGGGACAAGTCTACAACAGCAGTTGTCCTCAGCTGGTGGACGAGAGCAGCGCCAGGTGGGCTGGCGTAGTCAAGGCGGACCTTGAGCATAAGATGGTGCCGCTGGAGAAGACGGATGCCCAAGAAGTGTGTGGGTCTCAGATTCGCAACCTGTTATCCACCTTAAACAAATTCACGCGAAGACCACCGTGTCAACTGTAACCCTCACTCAGGTGTAGGGAATGACATGATCATCATACTCAGAAAGTCTGTATCTGTATATCTGTACATGAATCTGTATCTGTGCATTACTATGTATCTGTACATGAATCTGTATTCGATTAATGCAAATAAAGATCACGAGTGATTGCCATAGATAATAATTCAGTGCTGTGTCCTTGCGTCTTTTCAAAGCAATGAGGGTTCATCCAGAAAAGAAATGCTGCGTTTGGGCAAAAGTTACCTATCGACTGTCCTAATCATCAGCATTTGGTACGAAACTAGCTGATTTTTTTCTGTCATGTAGTATAGTATGTTCACCGTGTCTTCAATGGTCCATATCTCCTATTTTGTATCCAAGTTAGCAAACATTGACCCCATAAACAAGGAACAAACCAACCTTATCTGAGCTGAATGTGATGACAACCTCTGAACACACATAAAACCTGTTTAACTAGACGCAGACTTGTTTGGTGGTGGCATTAATTTTTGAGGGAGTGAGGCGAGATATGCCACAGAGGGACATGTACAGTTTTAAAACTATCTTCCTGCAAACTCCCTACGGCTTGCCCATATATAACCCTGCACACGTATGGGAGCCAAATCTGCTGTTATAGCTGTATCAACTTCACAAAGCAAAAATTACAAAAATTTAGCCCAACCTGTGTCCTAGGAAGCGAGTGTAGATATCACTCCTCTGACGGAGAAAAGTTGCAACTCTTTACGTATCCAAATGACTTCGCGAATCCAAGGGTTATTTGATGTCGTACTCTCCAGAAACGCAAAGCGACCAGTCGCGAGTGTAGTTCAAAGCGACTGACAGGTTGCTATGTAAGCTCCTCTGTGATGGTATGCTATTATGTATATATAAAGAGCACATCAATTACATACCAATTAGCCTCACCAGGAGTCATCATAATCCAATGGATTATTGATGTGGCACGCTACATGTATGTCACACCGCTACATGGAGGTCGTATGAATTTTACACATTTCCACGGGTAGACATCTCTTGGTGTCATAAGTGTACAGCTAGCTTTTATTAGAATTCTGCATACATTACATTTACTCATCTACACATAATATGCGTCTTTAGCTACATTTAGAGATTCAATATTTCAGCAATTTCGGGGGGCAGAAAGGCTAAAAATTGTAACAACATCACCGGAGCAGAAGCACAAATAGAAGTTGCGAAAAAGTTGCTAGAGTACAGATTATAGGTTAGATGTAATTACTATGGTCAAGGAAGTAAACTCACGTCCAGTTGACTTCGATGTCCTCTTCCCTGCTCTGCCTTTATGAATAGTAACAATAATGCGGGTCACTTTAGAGGGGGAAGAGATGGGAAGTTATAATGTTAAACAGATTATTTTTGTCCATGTAAATGGCACGATCATCACTGAAAAAAATCATCGTAGGTGCATCATACAATATGTGACCAGGGTGTATCTTTTAATTATTATTCCCAAAGTTTTGATAATTACATGTTACAGTATTATTGTTGTTATTATTGTTGTTATAATTGTTGTGATCCCCAAATATATCGTCATCAGATGCCTCACCTGTGCTGGGCACTGGCTCACGTTTATAAGATGTTGTTGTTCGTCCGTTGTTCTCGACGATGACCAGTGACGTCAGCTTTTGTGATTCTGGCTGTGGCTCACCAGTCCAATACGGGCTCTGAAGGCTCTGCCACAGGTCGGTGGCAGGAGTCAGGGATTATTTACATTTAATATAGGATACAAACAAACTAACACACAGACCTTTTACAAGTTGTGATATTTGATTCACAGTTCAGAGAGATTCCGGTCGAACTGGTAGAAGTCATGACTGGAGTCTTTGCGGGTTCACCACCTGGTTCTTCCATGCAAGCTTGTTGTTTCCCTGGTTATTTCTAGCCAAACGTATTACTTTATTTTAAATTTTACTTAACTTGATAAGAAAACAGACGTATTACTCACTCAGTTTTATTTATATTTTATTATTTCATATACTATTTAGCCGTACGAATATTTATAAACAAGCACACAAAGGTGTCAGAGGTCTAAATTTACGATCTCAAAACATTTCTTCTCATAATGACAGGGATTTCGTGGAATAGACTGTCTAATTGTGAGTTCTATGGTGATGAAAATTTGTTGGAAGTTTGCAGAATTATTAATTTTTCGTTGATAACAATTATGGTTCTTCATGTTCTGTCCAAGGTAACTATGATAATCACAAAGCAAAGTGTGGATAGTTTTCAGCACCAAGGACAGGTGTGTTAACCTGTATGTAGATGGTATTCAGCACCAAGGACAGGTATGTTTACCTTACGTAGATGGTGTTCAGCACCAAGGACAAGCATGTTTACCTGTATGTGGAACCAGGTTGGTGTTCAGTACCCAAAACAGGTGTGTCTGCATGCCTTGTTCAATGTAATGATAGACTCGCAGGCAAAAGTTATGCTCCATTTTTTAGCGATTTTGAAATTAGATGTCCATTGTGTGAAAAAACAAAACGTCATTGAGTCAGTGTAGTGGCATCAGTGGCACAACAGTTAGAGCATTGGACTTGGAACCAATAGGTCCCAGGTTCGATTCTCACCATGTCCCAACATTGTGCCCTTGGGAAAGGCACTTTACACAACTTTCCTCCCTGTATGGTGGAGTGATGACTCTTAGGCTAATCTGTCTAATTGTGTGCCAAAAACACACCACGGATTCGGTGCGCCGATGTGTCAACATTTGCCACCGAGAGCCATTAAAAAAAAATTGAGTCATTGTAACGTTTTCTTTACAGACTGCCAAGCGTGTCCCTGAGCTGGTCAGTACTCTGCATGGCGGAGTGGTACCAGAAGTTGTACACGCCTGCTTTCATCTTCTCAGCCACGGCCAGGACGGTGCAGAAGTCCCCCTCCAGTCTGAGTGACAGGTCGTTCCGGATCCGCTTCAGACTGGAAAGCTTCAGAGGCTGCTGACCCTGATCCCTAGGAAGCCAGAAATATCAAATATATCAGTGTCACCAATTACATGAAGCTTGAAAGTTAATCTGCAGTATCGGTATTGCCGGTATAACTGCTACTCGGCGTAATATTCCAGCTTTGCAGGCACTTGGCACTGTGTTTATTCCAGTTCCTTTTAGCCCAAAAGGGCTAATCTTCTAGGGCTTATACAGAAATAAAACACATAATTTTTATACAACAGATAACATGGTAAAAAAAACACACTTAGCACAAAAAGAACTTTACATTATGTACAAATGAAAGTGACATACATATACACTAGTCACAGAACATTATATGAATAGTTAGCAGACAGCTTTTTTAGAATGTCGTATCTATAGGAAAGTGTTTTGATGTGCTGTGGATGTGGCAGGAAAGAGTAGAAATTGGCCAGATAGACAGATGATATGCCAAGGGAGTCGTTCTATGCTAAGAAAGCAGCAAACGGTTCTCTTAGTGCAGACTAAGAGAAATTTTTCTGTCCATTTGGCCAATTTCTACTCTTTTCAGCCACTTCCTAAAGCCTGGTAGAGGCTAGCCAAGAACATGATTCACCGATAAAATGACTAGTTTTAAAACACAGTGTGTTAGTGTAGGATGGGGCTAGGAAGAGATAATTTTAAGATTTACTAACGTTTCTGTCTCCAGATACTTAATGAGTGCAAGAGCCTTCCTCTCTAACATACGGCAGAAGTTTTCGATGTATGCCTCGCGTACACCGCAGGACGGGTGGAGTTGGAACACCTGCGTAGGAGATAAAGAACAAAAACATGGGTGGAGAACATTGATGAAGGTTAGACATCCAGGTAATAAGATACACAAAAGAAAAACAGTAACTCAAGCAACTGGATATGATTTTGGAAATGGTCAGACATTTCAGGTAGTATCCACTATCTTTCATCAGTGACACTGGAGAATTGACAGAAAAGCTGGTTTACAAATGTATAATATAAGTACGAAATATTGATCTTCGTGGATGGAAAAACGTATCATTTGTTTGTTGCTCTGTGTCTTCCATGTTGTAACAATATCAGTCATGCCTTTAGAAATATTTTTCCACATTGATCTTACTTCTGGGCTCTCTTGCATCAAAATTAGAGGCTGCTTAGTAAGGTGCAACACCAAAAAAAAAAATCATCTCTTACCTCTGCCAAAAATGTTTGAACAAAGGACTCATCTGTGTCCACAAGCTCAAATATACTCCTGTAGAAATGTGCAAGAAGTTAGAAGAAAAGAATTGTTACCATTACTTTTATCTGTTATTCACACACATTATGTTTTTAGGCATAAAAATAGTTTGGATACCAGGCCACATTTCGAGTACGTTTAAGAACCCACCACACTCAATGAGAATGGAGCTCCATTCTTGTGTGAGTGGTAAAACAAATAGGTGCTTGAACCCTAATCTCCAAGCAGATCCCTCTAGCTCTGTGGCAAAAAGAAAGTATCAAATTGGCCAGGCAGTATCCATTAGCCAGAGAAGGTCACTGGCCACCGACGGTGGGGGTAGCGACAAAAAAAACAACAACAAAAAATGCCATATATAAAAAGCTAACGATCATTCACCCACAACTTCTGTTTGGAGAAGTACTTGAACCCCACAGTTACAGTGGATGAAATCTTACACAACTTGTACTTGCATGAAACTGGTGCATTGTGCCTGAAGGTGGTTTACTCCGAAACAAACAAATAAACAAACAAACAGGTTGTCTCACATGTCAGGCAGCGGACTCTCATCCCCATCTGAGTACATCTGTAACGTGAGGATCTCGTGTCTCCGGGCGGAATGTACGTGAAACGGTGGCGTCTGTCGTACCTCGGCGTTTGTCAGGTTAATGAGGGAGGTCGGGTACTGACTGGTTAACACGTCAAACATGGGCAGATCCAACCCAGCACCTTTCTTGTCCTGTTATAAAGACATGATTTGATAAAACTATAATTGTTTTCATCCACCTATGATTTTCTGAAAGGCTTTCATAATCTAACGTTAAACCTCTTGATCTAAATCTTTATCAGTATTTTGCATTTTTAGCCAGAATGAGCATTGAACTTCTTTGATGCAAGACATCACATTTGCAGGCATGGGGTAGAGACTGGTTACATTTCCTTACATCCATCCATCCATCTTGTACTTATTCCACTATCCCTCACTCCTATTACTCCCTTTCTCCCTCTCCCTAGCTCTTCTCTACACATGTACATGTACCTCTATGATTCCCTGCAGAAACAGGTCAGCTTCATACACATGAGGAGTTGTGCTTCTCACACAGACACGTGACCTCTGTCTCTCTGTGGGGCTTAGGAAGGCTGCCAGTGTGTGGATCACCTGCACAAGGGGAAAATGTGACACTTAAATTATTGTTACTGTGCTTACTGAGTGTGCCATTCAACATTTATATCAACATTTATTATTATTGCTTTTGTCTAGTTTGTGCTATGTACATATTCAGGATGATAGGTTTAAATAAGCCAACTCTAACTACTTTTTTTAAATACTAAAACATTAATCTGAGCATCAAGCATATGTACATGACAGTTTGTGCCTCCCAGGTAAAAACTGATCACACTGGAGACCTACCATGTTGATGATTTTATCAGACTTGCCATACACGACTGAACAGCCTAGGGTTTGAAGATGTGAGATGATGGCCCTGAAAAACAGGGAAAAAATTCTTGTAACATTGCATGTGACCTCTGCGGCTTAACCTTCCTCTGCTACATGACACCAACTTGATGCATATATACATTTGTATTTGGTACCAAAAGACACCTTCAGTATGTAGATGACACTGGCTACTGCTAACGGTTCACAAAAGTTCAGACACAGGTCCCAGAGCAGGTGCCAGTGGGAAAATGCAAAGACGTTAAAAACAAGAGAGTATAGACTCACATGTATAGATATTTCATGGAGGTATGAAATATCTGATTTCCTGCTATGTAAGTTGTATTGTTATCAGCATGGACAATACCTTCTGAGGAAGCCTTCTTCTATCATCCTTTCCTTGCCCGAAGCAAACACAGACTCAGATAACTGAAAGTCAATGAGAAATTTTTTGTGTATTGTCATTGAATGTCTTTTGGAGTTGTATGTATCAACTACTACTAGTATCAAGGCTTGAAACATAGGCAATCTATGTGCAATAAGTATACAACTACTACTACTAGTACTATAATTTTCAGTGAAACAAAGTACGATGAATCAAAGTAGTATGTGCAGGACAGAGCATACATTACATGTACATACATCCATGGAAGGGTTGAGCGAGTCCCTCTGTAGAGACAACACCAGCCGGACAAACTGCAGTAGACTGGCAGACAGGGATGACATCACATCACCAGTATCCTACACAGGCACATGGAACATCAGGTCTATCTTTTAGTATATCACAGCAAATGGCAAACTTATAGTCAATCAACAGGCACAAACCACTTGAACCTCCTATTTGTTTGAAAAATTGATTGTAGAAAATGTGGTTGAAAATGAGATAGTCTTAAGAAATACTGTTCATTTATTCACTATAGTATAATTATGTACTCTCCAAGCAGAGGTTGGTGGAGAAGTTTGTGACCTACCTGCACCATTTCCTGTTGCTACTCCCCACCAACAGAACCAGTAATACTAATAGTGACAGAAAACAGCCATATATGATCGAACAGTCACAATCTTCCACACCATGGCCAACCTCTGCTTGGAGAGTAACTACATAGACCCATAAAAGGTATTTTTTCATTATGCAATAATGAAGCCCAATTCACGAATGAGGGCTCAGGGAAATGGTCAAACCTTAATTACCTGATTCTTTTCCAGATCCACCTGAAGTTGCCGGATAATCTTAGTCAGCCTGGCTCCACACAGGTCATGCCACGGGAGGTACACTTTCAACTTTGACAACGGTAATATAATGGACATGGAGAACACGCTTCTACCTACAGCTGCCCTTCCCGTAAAGATAAAACAACTGGCGATGATGCCCTTGTCGGGTAGGATGTAGAATTTGGAGTCTACACTTCCAGCGGTTTCTTCTTCTTCTCCGCAACGACATATCTCGCCGGACAGAGTGTGGTTGGAGATGTACGGTATAACGCCGGTGGTTAACGGTTCCTGACACTGTGTCCGCCACACGTGCTGCGTTCTGGGTCCGAGAATGTTGTCCCAGACGGAGAGGACCACCGCTTGAATGATGGAGTTTTCGGTGTCTGGAATGTCTGACTCTGGCGGCGAAGGGGCTGGAGGGGAGAGAGGCTATCCTCGGGGGACTTTTGGATCAACTTTGGAGACGACATGTTGACTGGTGATGTTGTCATGTCTGAGTCAACCCTTTAAGAGCCTACAACAAAATTATTGCACGTCAGGAAAAGGGCAAAGGCATAGTTTATTGAATCCAGTGACATATCATAAAAATCAACAAGTTTGACAGACTTTTTCTGCGTTATATTCACTTTTCAGTTTTACCAAGGAGGTTAAAAAGACCTCCTTGGTTTTACTCAATGCACCTATATAGTGTCATCTAGATAAACAAGAAACAGGCAGCGCCTTTGGTCACCTAGGAATCTTCAAGGTATATTCAAGGTATCTTTATAAAGAAGTGCTTTTGAAAGCAAGGCAGCAAGGTCTAGAAGTGTTCGTCTGCTAGTTAGAACTACAAGTTTGTCAAAGACTCAAAACATAATTCATATTCATGCAGAAGCGATAGACAGACGCACACGCGAACACACATATAAACACGCACACACGTGCGTACAAAATGCCCTTGTCTGCTGTTGTGTGAAGGTGAACAGAAACCATTTTCTTACCTGTTCCTGTGTGAGTGTTGCTGCAGAAAATGACCATTTAATATGACCTTTGACCCACAGTACGAACATGCCACTTTTAACCCAACCATTTTAAAATTGGCATATTAATAAGAAACAATGAATCACTGTTGGTAAAGACGACAACTACTGATCATTTAAATACTTCAGTCATTTATATTACAAGTTTGGTAATGATTTGTAAGTTTCGTAGTCAAAGAAAGAATTTAAGCCAGCACCCCCGGATATGTAAATGAAAAGTTCCATATCCGGTGTGGAAACATGTGGAACTGATCGACTAGTTACAAAATCGGCCTGTCCACAGCTTTATAATTTTTTTTACCACTTCAAAAGCATCGTTTGATTCTCTACTTCTCGACCATGTCTGCCCAAGTGAAGCAGGACCACGTGGACGAGGTCGGGCGGATGTTGGCGGACGGTTCGCGACCGCTGACCGAGAGATTCCGGGCGCTGTTCACCTTACGCAACCTGGGCGGGAGGGCGGCGGTATGTAACTTCTCGATATAATTTCTCCAAGCAGATCCCTTTCTGTAAAAAGACAGTATCAAATTGGCCAGGCAGTATCCATTAGCCAGAGAGGGTCTCCGGTCACTGACGTGGGATTAGCAACAAAAACAAACAAACAAACAAACAAACAAACAAAAAACGGCCATATATACTATTGATAGCATGATCAGATGAAAAATTTTTCAAGGTTTGAGGGGAATGAAAATGGTGCAATCTGATAGAGCTTTGTCTGTGGAGCAAAACCCTTTTTTCAGAATCAAAATCAGACCTACCATTGTCGAGTTATTAAAAAAATTGATGACAAAAACTGCTGGTCTTTAGTATTGAAAATCTAACGATCATTCCCCCACAACCTCTGCTTGGAGAGTTAAGCCGCTGCGACTGTTGCAGGGCTTCTCTTGCTTGCAGTCTTTTACAAATTATCCTTGGGCTAATGTTTGCTATTGCTAAGGAACTACTAAACTACTATTGGCTAATGCTAACGAACTAACGTAAATGAGCCACCAGTAAGGATCTAAACTGGCTACTCTGCACTAAGTCATAAGTCACTACATCACAGGCCCCATATATCACAGACTGACAGGTCAGGCCTGTTACAGGTAGACTGGATCGCCCAGGCGTTTGAGGACCCGTCTGCGCTGCTGAAGCACGAGCTGGCGTACTGTCTGGGGCAGATGCAGGATCCGTACGCCATTCCCGTGCTGCTAGGCGTGCTGAAAGACAAGGGACAGGAACCCATGGTCAGGCACGAGGCAGGTATGTACTAGTGTAAGAAACAGGAGGAGCCAGTAGAAACAGATAAAAACCCTTCTGGTCCCGGGCCGGGGTTCGAACCCACTGTAACTTGTAAGAAACAGGAGGAGACAGTAGAATCAGATAAAAACCCTTCTGGTCCTGGGCCGGGGTTCAAACCCACGACCTCCCGAGCACCAGACGCTCTAACCTCTCGGCCAAAAAGTTCTCGTCGGCCGGGTCAGTTGGTAGCGCCTATAAACCCCCCACTGTTACACTAGGCAGTTGATCAGTCTGGATTTGGGACGTTCCAAAAAGGTGGCCGAGTAGGAAAAATCTGGATTGAACCCAGGGGTAGGTTAGGAAAATCTGGATCAGACGGGGTTGGATTTTGGAACGTTTGAATCGGACAAGGGTTTGTAGCTCCTCCTCTCATTTCTGTCTGTCATCTCTGGTTACCTCTCTCTACATCATATAACTGGAACTTATGCTCCTACCTGGCCGAAGGAATCTACTCTACTCTATATAGATGTAGCATATATGCTTGATTGGTGCACAAATGATTTTAACCCCTCGCATGTGTTGTGTTGTTACGCTGCCCAGGAGAGGCGTTGGGTGCCATTGGGTCTGCAGAAGTGTTGGATGTCCTGGAGGAGTATGCTCAAGATGACACTGTGGAGGTGAGTCATAGATTATGGGTGTCATAGATTCATCCTTGGCCTACGAATTTCACAAGGCTAGGTTGGCTAGGGCATACTCTACTACTCCTTCTATAGTTCAGAATATACAGTCTGAAGTGTTTATTACACACAATACATACATTGTGATGCATTGTGTGTAATATGTCAATCTGAATATGAAACGTCAATTTTATCAGAAACCACCAGGGGCAGAGATCCCAATCATAATACCTGTCGACAGAGACACAGATGGGGATCTCTATTGGCAAAGACTACGATCAGAGTTTCTGTTGACAAAGACTCCAATCAGGATCAAAAGGAAGAAAGCTACGAAAAGTCTTCTTTCTCTCGTCTAGGTCTCCCCTTTTTTTTATTTTGTTACCCCCCCGATTAAAAACGGGATCAATCACTGATTCTACCAGCTTAGAGTCTGTAAAGTCTACATACATAAGGTTAAAGTATTTTCTCCCCCCACTAACTCAGGTTGCAGAAACCTGTCAGTTGGCCGTCCAGAGAATCCGTTGGCTGAACAGTAAGCAGTCACAGGAAGAGACCCTAGAACCCAACCCTTACTCATCTGTGGACCCTGCACCCCCAGCGCCGACAATGGATGTGTCCGAGCTGAGGACAGTGTTGCTAGATGAGACTCTCCCGCTGTTTGCGAGATACCGGGCCATGTTCACTCTCCGGAATAGGGGTGGTCAGGATGCTGTCCTAGCACTCGCCGAAGGTCAGTCTTATGTACAGTACTACTTGAACTGGCCATTAAGGTAATGATAAATGTAAGCAAAGCTGATAATACAATAAAGGTCACTGACGAAAGGTAGCGGATGGTACATCTAACAATTCCCAAAATTATATCCAGTTGCTTGAGAGTAAGTTTTTTTACGTATCTTATTACCTGGATGTCTAACCTTCACTGATGTATTTATTATTTACATTAATCACAAATCTATTGTGCCTTGGCAGGCCTGAAGTGCAGCAGTGCCCTTTTCCGACACGAGATCGCGTACGTTCTGGGACAGATCCAGCACAGGGCCTGCGTCCCGCAGCTCATCCAGGCGCTCGAAAGGAAGGACGAGAATCCGATGGTCCGACACGAGTGCGCGGAGGCGCTGGGTTCCATCGCGGAGGACGCGTGCATGGACGTGCTACAGAAGTACGCGTCGGATCAGGAGAGGGTTGTACGGGAAAGCTGCGAAGTCGCTCTGGACATGTTAAACTATGAGAACAGTCAACAGTTCCAATATGCAGACGGACTGTCTAAAGTACATGCAGGGGAGCAGATAGATAAATAAATAGATAGATAGACAACAATGTGTGGTAGTCATGCTTTTAATATCATCATATATATATGTACAATGTATGCTTGCAGTTGTTTCTTTTTTTGCAGTTGCAAAATCTTGACTCTGGGAATTTGGGTTTCCATTGTATTAATGCTGTTCTGCAAATTTGTTTGATTCACAAAATGTCCATTGTCCTCTTGAAATCAATGAATTTACAGTACTGTGATATCAGTTTTCTTTTCACTCGCACTATTGAATTAATACAATACTAGTATAATGACATAGAAATTAATGTACATGTGTACATGTAACAACAAAACCCTGACTGGAATGTTTGATGAAAAGTTCTCAGTCTTATTTATTTATGGTGGAAACAGCATAACAAATGAATAAAAGGCATCTAAAATCTAGTGACTATGATATGTATATCATGCCTCAGATCATTTACAGATTATTCTATTCCTACATGTACTTACCGATTCTATGATGGACGAATAGGTGTATGGGTGGCTGGTTGAATTTAGACAGATAGATAAATGGATAGGTGGATGGATATCACTTGATTTGGAAAAAGTGATGGTCACATGCCCCATCAAACCCGTCTGAACTGCAGCAAGGTTCCTAAAGCGACAGACAAGCAAACCTCTGATCTGGTCCATACAGAAGCGCCCCCTGTGGTATTCTGCTATCACTGCAGGTACCTGTGCCCCTCACCACAGAGTTCACTCGCGGTCAGTGGCCCACACTGCGCCCAGGGACGCGCCGGCAGCGGAAATGACAGGAAATCTCGGGTCACGACCTGGCTACTGGTGCGTCTGGGCGTCTGGAGGATACACGGAATCACGTTCTGGGTGTCACATGGTGACGATGTCGCTGGTACGGCGCGGACAGAATGATAATAAGATATAAAAAATTAATATTGCACGGCAACACATGTGTAGCGAAACGACACACAAATATTTTCCTTCATTCAATCATGGTGTAGCAGCCTGGCCAAACTTTGAATCTACAAGCAGATGTACAACATATAAGGGTAGAGCCTATTTGAAAGTTTTACTACGTTGACCGGGAGGCGTATTGAAGCATTTTAGTACTGTAGTTTGCCGTAATTAATGGTAGGGAAAGCTTTTTCTAATTCGTAAATCCCCATGGGAGCATGCGGCCTTGAGTGAATGAGTGATCTCGAGTGAGTGAGAGAGAGTGAATAATACGTAGCAAGATGGCCACATTTTGCGTAATCACCCTCCTGAATTTAGCGTAAAGCGTTGTCGGACGTCCCCCATTTAGGCGCTCTTCAAATGGTGCACTTAAATAGCGGAACCTTGCAACTGCTTGGCATGTGATGCTTTGATCAAGGTCGACGTTGTTGGATTTCCTTATTGAACATCGAGCGTAGACCTGATACAGAAATGGTTTTCCCCGAACTCTTTCGACCTTGGTCATCCAAACTGTAACCCGCGGCCGAAAATAATTTCATCGGGGTACCGGGAAGAACTGAAAGTTTGAATGACGGAAGAAAATATCCTTGTTTTCGTCGGGAATTTCCGGAACTTCCACCAGGCTGACCACCCGACTTCCGAGAAGTCACGAACAATTACAATGCGGCTAAAAGCAATATATAAAGTGAAAAAAAATTACGTACATGACGTGATCACAGAGAAATAGACTACGTATATCCATACCGTAAAATACGACGGGGAATCCCGAGTCTAATTATGTATGAAGATTGTACAAGAAAATTTCCCGGGATTCTTTATCACCTGCAAAAGGAGTCTGGTGGAGCCTAAGTATTACCTGTCTATTTGGCAAATTTCTACTTTTTCAAGCCGCTTGTTCCCGGAGCCTGTCAGAGGCTACCACCGACCCGTGACTCCGGGACTGGCACGGAACGAACACGTCTGGAATTGTAATAGCAGAAGAAGAATGTGTTGGTTGAAGGGAAAACGCCAGGAATGACAAGTATGTAGCGGGCCGGGAGAGAATGCAGATCCGGCTCTCATCAGGAGCGCGCTTGGAACTCCATCCCATCCAAAATACATCCAGCGAAACATGTCTATAATGATTACATTGTCTGGCCTCGTTCGATGGACACTTAGCTAGCTAGAGGTCCTCACACTGCACATCGGATAAGACGTAATCATGTTATCAACGTTAACAATACCGAATAAGGAAATGCACCTGCAGTGAGACTTATGACAGCAAGAAAAGTTTATTATTTAAAGTTTGCTGAATCTAGGAGGCCATTTGGCTGAATTCAAGCAATTTTCTTGCATTAAGTTCGATTCTTTTCCACTTATGATAGCAAAGAAACAGTAATACAAAATTCGCTTTTGGTAGTGTACTTGTCAACTTGTATGCCGCAACGGGACGCCCTTAATTCGAGTAGACTGATCACGCTTTACGCAAAACAGTTACGAAAGAAACAACAACAACAACAACATGCAGACGTCCCAGCATAGCCTATTTCTGATGCGGGGTCATAAAAACAAATCCAGTACCAACAAGAAATTGGAGATTTGAAAGCTCCGGGCGTATTTGGAGTTTTTGTGGCTTTTATTGGCAGACGGTCTGGCGTACGTAGTTTCAATGGACCTAGGATAGTAATCTCCAAGCAGATGTTTCGCTGGCCAGGCAGTATCCATTGGCCAGACTGTATCCATTTGCCACCCTACGCATACTACCTTGCCAATTTGATACTGTATTTTGCAGCCACCGAAACATCTGCTTGGAGATTCCTAGGACAGAAACCTCCCAGGCTGAGGCTTGTGTCGAGCCCCTGGCGACAAGCCCTGAGTGCCCATGGGCAAATAACTGCGTGGGCGGACTCACTTCCTCTAGCCTGCGAGGAGACCAAAGTTAGACTGGCGATTTTACTATCTACAAGCAGATCCTACGGTGGCAAGGCGGTATTACATTGGCCAAGCAATGGCCATTGGTGATTAAACTTGACTTTGATTTGTGGTTACGAAATCTCTCCCCTTCCTGCCACTTTACACACAAGCAAACACACATACAAACACACCGAACACAATACATGTACCTCTGTACCGGGAGATAACAATCAAGAAACTCATGTACACCTGCATGACGACTTCTTTTTCATGGGTGAAAACACATGTCGGCACATTGACAAGCATGTTGGGTGGCAAAATCGTAAAATTTTTATTAGCTTCGGATCCCCGTTTTATGTTATACACGATTTCACTTTCCAACATATACTTGGAGGACACCATATGAAAGGCTATTAAATCTCCCAGCAGATTATACAATATCATACGATCTGCTTGGAGATTAAAAAGGCGAGGTTGCCAATGTTTTGAAATTTATCCACCTGTTAAACAATTACATTGTCCTTGTGTGTGAAACTTCACAAAATTTTACATCCACAAATACTAGTACTTCCCGGCTCAGTAGTACACACAAATTTCGGGGACTCTACCATCAAATAACCTTAAAAATATATAACATTATACATAGTACGAGGATCCGAAACTTTTCCGTGTCTGATATGTGATATACGACTTCTGTTATGTTATAAATCTATACGGTCAATTAAGGGGAACCCCACATCCGCCATCTGACGCTACAGTCGTTTCCGCCTGGCGTTTCCAAGAATCCCGTACCAGGTTTATGTTCGGTTTCTATGCATGTATTATATGTTCCGGATCGCGCGATGACTCAGCACTGGGCATCCCCTCCCCGGAAACGGTCGTTTGTAGCTGCCATATAATGTTACTGCCAAATTGAGCAGTCTGAAATCGCCAAGCAGATGTATGTGTATTTGTGTGTGTGTGGTGTGTATTTCTACTGTATATACGATTGAATGATTGATTTATTGGGAAGGGGACAACACTTCAAAGAGATGTACCTATGAATATATCGATTAGATTTTGTAACGTTTTTGTTATATTCTTGTTTGTTTGTGGTAACACCTGTACCGAATCACCCTTCACTGTTTGAGGTGAAAACTTATAAAGTAGACAGGTAAGAGCGTTACGTCGTTTCGTTTCTGCTCCATGCTGTTACAAACTGACTTCGGTCCAAAACGATTCGAAACGTTGCCTCCCAACATCTGCTTGGAGATTAGCAGTCTAGACCATACTCTACCATGTAGCCATGAAGAAATAAAGAAATGGCATATTTGTCCAATCGAGTTATTAAAATAAGTACTAAGAAATGATCACTCAGGATCACTCATCAGTTTACACCCATGTCTGTGAAACCAAGGACGTTCTATCAAGAAACCAAGGACGTTCTATCAAGAAACCAAGGACGTTCTATCAAGAAACCAAGGACGTTCTATCAAGATACTAGTACTTAGATAGAACGTCCTTGGTGAAACTAAAACACTAACGTTACTTTACTAACAGGTTATTCCTGCCCCCCTCCCATCCTATGATGTTTGAAATAACCACGCGTAAAGTGGAATATGTCGTGTGTTTTCTAACAGATGTTGGTAGCCAATTAAGGGCATTTAAGGGCCGTTTGCGACTGAAACAACAGCTACAAAAACTCCTACGATTTCGCCTGCCAAAATGTGCTGCGAGATTCGTATGTTTTTCCCAAGCGATTTGTGCCCCGAGGCTAGAGCTACGTAGTAGCCGGTATGCCGCCCTGTCTGCCTGTGTTGACGTTTTGTTTATGTACGCAGTGTGGTTTGTGTATACGTGTGTCCTGCCGCGTCATCGGTACACGCTGCCCCCACCCTTCTCAGTAGTCCCACCAGTTCCGGCCACTTCCTTATATGGCTACAAAACACATGCCGTCATCCTAATTAATATACGGCTCGGCGCGCTCTGATTGGCTGGGAGGGCGTGGGTGTGCCACCCCTTGACCATATATGGGCAAAATGTCTCCGTCTGCCCGTGACGTCACCCGGGCGCTGTACAATAGCCCCATTGAAGTGTGCACTGATCCCATGGCGTATTGGTGCGCGCGATTTGGCGGGACACGTACTACGCCACATTCCACTGCTTACTCTGGTATTTCGACAGCGTCTCGGTTGATTGGGGTGCCTGACCCCCACCACCCCCTCCCTACTTCTGCTTTCTTCCGAAACAAAGACTGTTGACTTCTCAGACGGTACTGGTTCGGGGGAAATTTCTGAGCAAGGACACTTCCCTCTAAAACTAACTTTAGTAGTTGCACAACCCCAAGACAACAGCACAGACAAATATACGTGATTTCATCATTTAATTACAACTTGTAAAAAAAGAACTTCTTTGGTATAAATAATTTCACAATGCTGTAGCGACGCTGTCGCCACGCTTTTTTTATCCACCAAATAATTTTTTTCCGAGATTACAAAAGCTCGTGAAACTAACGTTATCAACCAAGTAACAAAATATGTACATTACAATTCCCCATCTGTAGAAAAGGGTGCATATTTTAGTATCAGTCGGCTCGCCGACGTGCCAATTTCACCTTTTTGCTAATCGTACCTTAATATATAAATGCCTTGACAGAGAAGCAACTTGCACACAATGCACTGGCTTATAACTGCAGGCTTTCACGCTCAACGTTCCAGCCGCAGCGTTATAATCATTGTTATCATTCAACAAACTTCATTCATGACATACATAAGATGCACAGCAACTTACGAACTCAAACAAACATCCTTTCGCAGTAGAGAAAGTCTCACGGTATAAATAACATGGTAATACTGTCCAAGTCCTATTGTCAGTTCGCGAAAGTGTTAAATGTTCAAAGATACAGTAATCCTATAACGCGGGAAAGTCAGTTGAAAGACAGTTGTTGTGTGAGCATGACCTGGCAGCCAGAGTTCACGTGTTCCATGACTTTCTGCTTCAGCTGACAGACTTGTTCGCGAAGCTGGTTTGCTGTGGTGGAAAGATCGGTGTTCTGTGTTTTCAAGTCCTTGACTTTAGACTCCAGGCGGCTGATGCGCTCCAGCTTCCTCTTGCGGCACTTGGACGCGGCGATTCGGTTGCGCAACCGCTTACGCTCGGCCTTGATCAGCTCTTGTGTTTCCATGTCGATTGGGCCGGTGGGGAGGGCGCTCATCGCTTGGTGCGGGACCGTCTGCGGCTCTTCCTTGATCGGCCTGCTTAGCGCCTGGTGCTGCAGGGGTGGTGCCGTGGAACTCGAGCAGGCGGCGCTCACGGTGCTGGCGGCGGTCGTGGGGGTCGGGTGGTGTTCGACGGTCGAACCCGGAAGTGCCGTGGTGGTGGACATGGCGGTGAGGGTATGGTAGGTCGGCTGGTGGGACAGCGGTGGAGGCGCGCCCGGGTAGGAGGTGGAGGCCGTCGCGGTGGAACTTGTGGCCATTTGCGCACAAGGTTGGCCGTTTGGATCGACGATTTCCTCGCGATGAAGCCTCTCCAGTGCCGCTACGAAACCGGCCGCATACTGCTCCTGCTCGTCGGTGACATTCTTGGGGAAGATGAACTGTGTTGGGGTCGGGGTGGTGGTGACCAGCCCGTTGGACTGAATGATCAGCCGCTCCAACTCCGGCGAACCAAGCTTCAGGAGATTTAGCTCAGGAGTCCCCAGAATGTTCTGGAAAAATAACGACGAAAATAAAGGTTAAATTTCGTTGAAAGTCTGTGCGATACGATCCACAAAATTGGCAACGTGACTAGAGTAAGCAACTGACAACACGCTTGAAATCGTAGTACGTGTAACGTTACCAATATTTTACACGAGACACGTTGGCCGGCCGGCCGATACATAAATAATGCGTAACAGGGCGAGAAAATTATATTTACCTGCAGATGCGGCTTCTTGCTCGTATTTGCGAAATCCAGAGTGAGAGATTTTCTCATCTCATGCCCTGAAACGTTGGGCTTTTGGTCGGGAATGCGGGAGTAGCCCGGGTTAGCGTACTTGGAGTGCGGCATCGGTTGCAGCTCCGAGTCGTGGTAAAATGACGTTTCCATCTTCAGAGCCATGCGTCGGGGATAAAAACCGCTGTTTGTCGACAACGATGAATCACTGGGTGTGGGGTTCGAGTCTGGGCAAGTCTTAGTCACTGCCTCTCGGCCACAACAAAGTTTTACCGGTGTGGTAGGAACAAAACTCAGGAAATAACTGCTACACACTGCACACTCGCTGGCTTTCTCTGTCGTACTAACGTGCATCCGCTGAATATCGTCCTTATAGCATGAGTCAATGTCTAAAAATAGCAGGACATCCCCATGACATCATTTTCTAGACATCTGATTGGCTATCAATGATGTCATCCTCACCACGTGACAGGTACAAGTTGGAACCTGAGCCCGGTTGCCATGGTGATGAACCGACAGGTCAGCGTGCCGCAATGCCTGACGGGATGATGTCATATTAAATTAAACCTCGCCCCTTCTCGGTAATCCTCGGCAACCTCGTCAGCAACCGTCGTTGCCCATATTTGGTTCGGTAATTTCCGAAGTGCTACGTAGATTCCCGAGGGCACGACTACGTCAGTTGTTTTCATCCTCTTCATTCATAATGGCGGGAATTTTGTTGTCCCTTCCGTGACCTGAAGTAGTTTGCTTCAGCCACGCGCCGTCGCCTCCAGTCGCGACAAATCGTCTCGATTGGCGACCACAGACAAGCATCGAAGGCGTCACACAATCACGGCATATTAACTGGTGAGGTACAAACTATCTGGAGCGTTACAAACTGTGTGTAATATCGGACGATTTTTACGAATTTTTGGACGACGCGCCACCCACCGATACTGTCGTGCCACGTCATGCAAACATGAAAGAAAAGTTCACACACGCCAGTGTATATTATGACTACAACGCGTGCTACAGGACACTCGGTTTGAACGATTTATCTTACGATCTTCATAATATTTGCTATGCTTTTGTGAGAAGGCATGCGGGGTGGGAACCGTGGTGCAAAAAGGGGAGGGGGGCCATTTGAGAGATGGAGATGGGTACAGCTAGCAGCTCAAAAATTATATAATTTGTTTCGGGCTTGGTGTACTGTTTGTCATTTCTTGATTTTGCTTCATCCCCAAAGTACATACACAATCGTGAATATACTGTTGCCACATATCTTCAGTGCTGCTATTTTGGATTTTTGTCTATGGCACTTAAACGGTTGCAAATCATTATGGGCAAGGGGGTGAAGTCTGCCATCCCTGGGTGCCTTGTTATGGACAGCATTATGCAAAGTTTGGAATATGTGCAACATGTCACCAGTTGAGTGAGGGTTATCTAATGTAATCTTGCACCAATCAAATGAATAAGCAAATAAATAGATAAACAAACAACCTCCCATAATGTTTGTTGTAATTGTCAATTGTTTGTTGTAAATACATTGATGCCAAGGACGTTTTGTCAAAACATCCTTGTTTACTATGCCAAGGACAATAGAGCGATAATGACAGCAATGATTTACCATTCTTATTCATATGTTGCCAATAATGCATTGGTACATGTAATTACATTATACAGAGAACATATATGTATAATGTCCTTGGTACATGTTTGCTAGCATTAAAGATATAAAGTATTCTTTGACTAATTTGGGTCCAAAAGGCTCTTTTTTCCACTTACAAGAGCCTTACATGCATGACTACAATGTACACGAGAACACGATCCATGCTCTGAGTGCCACTAGCTGCCAGCCATGCGTAGAGGCTAAGTGAGGGCAACTTGCGCCTTAGAGCTAAAAAATGATACAAAGAATCGCAAAGAAAGTTCCAAGCTAGAGAGTACAGAAAGAAACAAATTCAATGGACTTAATTTTGTAGAATGTTAATCACTTTTGCTAGTTTTAGAGAGAAAAAAAATCTTTAGGTTAGCACTTTTTCTGAACACTTAGCTACAATAGTGCAGGTAAAATTACCTGGCAAACTTTACCTTCTTCACTCTGCTGGACATTTATTTATTTTGATTTAAAATAGATTTTATGAAAACATACAATATCCGGGTCTACTGGATTCCAATATAAATCCAAACAAAACATGATTCAGGGCCAGCCAACCAAAAACGACTCTAACAACGTGTTTGTTTGTAAATGTAGATAAAACTGTATGTAGTAACACCTGTCAGGTGTCACAAAACAATACCGTCCTTCATCAGTACTGTTGTACAGTGTTGATGTGTAAAAAGATCGGACAATACGAGACAGTTGACAGTTGTAACCGGACACCTATAAGTAGCGGAGGGCCTGGGGGCACGTTTCACACTAAGCAGGTGTTTGTTCAGAGTATGAGATTTCAGCGGGATTGCCGGTCCCCAAGGTAGGCAGATTTTCCCACCTAATATGGGCTGGCGTCAGGGAGGCTGGGCACCTGAGCCCATGTGACCGGCCACTTAGAGGCCGTTGTTCTACAGAATTTTGGCGCGAGATGCTGGAAATGTTCTTAAGGACAAAGTTTGCACAAATTTTTCTGTTCTGTTTTTATTTAATATGATTGTTTTTGTTATACTATCACATTTCAAGTGTTCATCTGAGCTGAAATGCAACCAGTACAGTGCATGTTAAACTAGTCTAGTGCTGAGAGCAAGAACACGTATCCTACATTTCCAATGCATTCAAATGGCACAATACAATGAGTGGGCAGCCTGGAAAAGGCATACCAAACTTTTTTATAACTCTAGAACTTACAGTTTGTAGGACTGAGAAGTCTTGAATATGTCCTTTTTTCATCTCTATCATGTATTAGAAAGGTAAACCTTTTTTGTGTATTTTTCTATGATATATGTGATACTGTACGTGTACGGTATTTTTACCAAAATAACCAAACTCTACACATTTTAGCGGATACAAATGTACTTGTAAGTCTAGGTCATGACGAGAACTGAACCCTTTGAGCCACCTGATATCAAATCAGAGTTGATAATATGATATACAAAATTGTAACCCTTAGATCTAATATAACATGAAAAATGAGAGAAGAGTTGTGTGTTACGACATTTGATACGGGTCATTTGTCCTTGTAATTAGAACTTCCTGAATTTTAAACCCCCACAAAAACAATTTCTTTAAAAAATTTCCTGCTGGTAGAATTACTAGAAAGGTATGCGCAGGTACATTTGTATATTGTTCTGCAGATGAATGGTTTACATAATTTATTAGTTTATGCAAATGATGTTATCATGAGCACTATCATAGCACCTTAACCTGTTTTGGAAATATATGTACATTGCTGATACAGCTTTTCATTGAATCGTACTCCAAATCTGTTAATGTTTGCTCAATAAATTGTCTGAATATTGACACGCCTCATGATTTTTTGATGGGGCTGATTAACGCCCTTCAGGTTGTGAAATTAGGCTTGCTCTGAACCTTTGTGTTTAACAGACAGTAGAATTGGTGCCAAGGGACGGAGGGTCCACACTGGCTAGCCATGTCTGCACGGCCAGACACACGGAATAACAGGGATAGGGGAGGCTGGAGACACATAGATCACATGTCTGTAACTTGTTTCAGCTTTACCAATTCAATTGTCTGGTTGCAGTCATTTTCAGTCCCTGAAAAAAAGGAGAAGTAGAAGTTAATATAGAAATCAGAGATTGACATTTGACTGTATTTTGAACAGTTATTTTGTTCAAGTTAGTGTGGTTTAAGCACTTACAATGTACCTGAGCTTTTGACCTGTCATTCTGCCTATTAGTCTTCCCCCACCCATGTGCTGTCAACCTACGCAGTCCAGACAAACATATACCCAAATCCACAGTCAACCCACCCAAAACAATGCTTCCATTATCCTCAAATGAAAAAAAAATTGTTGTAACTGTTGTAGATGTATACGTCAGGCTGGTTAGCTTCATTAACAGGTGGTGCCTTTGCCAGTCTGTTACAGATTCATAAGCTAGCATTATGATGAACGTGACTTCGACTACATCTGGATCCCGCTCGGCGTCCACGGGACTGTCTAGCAGCCTGACGAAGCCAACAACGGACCAGTCAGCGTCAGCGCGGTCTACCCTGGCTCCGTCTCAGGACGACAGTCTGTCTAGCGACGACGTGGTTCACGCCAACAGAGTCCAACATCATGGCTTTACCTCAGAATCTGAGCAGGCGCTGGTGAGTGAGAACACCTGCATTTTGCAATAAAACAGCTAGAGGGTCCCCACTATACTAGTAATTGGTATGGTAATGTTACCTCATAGTGTTAAGTACAAGTTATGATAAGCCAGTAATTGTCAAATTACTGGCAGAATGACCTCAAACGAGGTCATTCTGGGCTCTTCATATTCAACATGTGAAATTTTGTCTATAGTTGTTGTTATTTGTTGAAAGGTTTATCATTGCATATTATCAATGTATCTGTAAGCAACTCTACCTATGTAAAGGTTTGGGACAATTTCCTTTTTAGTAGATTAAGAAGATCTTTGTGCCCACATACCAAATACATTTTTTTTTGTATCATCACAATACAACAATAGCTTCTTGAATAAGCCTGCCAGACTATGCGGAAAAGTGGAAACACAGACAGACAAACTCACACAGAGCTCATTTGTATTTATGAAAGGCAATGCTAACCTTCACAGACATACCTGAGTGTGGTGTGGCATGCAGGCACCCTGGGGTTGGCTTACTTCAACACAGAAACCAGCTACGTCTACATGATGATGGACACAGCCGAAACTGAGGACTTCCAGCTTCTCAGGCAGGGTTTGTAGAATCAGAGTTGTAAACTTTTCTTATCTTGTAACCTTTACTGTGAATTGTTATTCAATGGTCAGCCAGATCTTGTTTGATGTTAGCAATAGGTTGTCATGATTTTTGAATTATTATGCATTCATATTTTCCCATGTCTGCTGTGTGTTTTGACATGAAAATGTCAAGAATATGCAGCTGAGTGTTTACTAGTGTGTACATGTAGCACTACTTTAACATACATGTATACCCTACACAAATATCTATTTAGGTGCACATCTCCAAATCTGGTTGGACAAAAGTGCAGGCAGCTTTGAGAACTAATTACTCTGACTGGGGATAAGTCCTTAATTATGCAATTTTTTTACGTAACATTTCACAAGATGTAAGACTTAGACATTTTTACTACCTTCCCTGCTAATGTAATCTAGGTGTGACAGGGCAGATACCGATCACAGCGACGCTTAATTTTCTATTAGAGCAGGTTTTCCCCCCAGGGACACCAGCGATGAGTCATGTCTGCACGTGGTGGAAAATTAGGGATTAACGTGTCAACACTGGGGACATCGGCCTTTTATTTATCAAGTAATACTCGCTCTGGAACCTCAGCGCAGTTTATGTTGACAATATTTATGTGTGGAATGTTTTCTTGTCTCTTCTATAATTGTATGACGACTTATTCAACGCAAGAGGCCATTTGATAGAACCCTAACTTTATGACAGCATCTTATTTATCAAGTCATACTCGCTCTAGAACCATTGCACAGTTAATGTTGACGATATTTATACATGTTTTCAGAGTTTAAGCTTTTTTCCAACACAAGAAATGAAGGAACTCACCATAAATTTTCAGTCGATCTCGTCAACCTTCTTCAGATGTGTGATCCACTAGCTGGAACAAAGCTTGAACTCTACAACTTAGGATGCTATCAACACAGATGAGCTTTCATTCGGATATTTATACATGGAATGCTTAATTGTATCTTCTATAATTGTATGACAACTTATTACTGGTAGATGCAAAAGGCCATTTGATAGCACCCTAACTTAATGAATGTTACATATGGATGGGTAGATAGCATGTAGATAACAGGAGATTCCAACAACAACTGTTATTTAACACTTCATGCGTGCTAATAAGACAGCCTTTTGATGCCAAATTTATTGCTTTCAAGACTAGGAAGCAGGGAAAAACCAAAAGCAACTGAATACCGATGTAATTACACAGTACATTTGTATAATATGGTTAGAATGACTCATATTTAAACTCCAGTGGAGATAGAAAAATGCCAGTGTAGTGTTGCTAAGACACTTGATATATATTAACGATGGATACTATACAAAGTGACATGAGCTTAATACTGTATCAAAGTCTCTGTAGATCTCTAACTCTGCATTTAACAGTGATTACAAATGTTGGAGCAACATTTTATGTGCCTAAAGATATATGCCAGTAGCTCCAAATATGATATAACAATATTGTTCTGTTAGCGAATGTGGATGGTTTATTGGTCAAACATTACCTGTGCAATCACATCCTTTTTTATAGCTGAATTGCTGCAGGGTTTACAATTGGTTTACATTCACATAAGAATCAATCAATAATCACATATAATACACATGATAAGTAGAACTCATGTCCTTTGAGCATATATTGAGTATATGAGTCATGGCTAGCCACAGGGGTAGAATGCAAACCTCCTCCAGGATGTTGGTTTACTTCTCAACTAACATATAGGTCAAACAGAGGGGTGTGGCAGCAGCAGGGTACCCAGGGCATTAAGGGTCAAGACTGAGTCATCAAGTACTGTAGATTAAGTTAATTTTGCTCGAACCTGATTTTGTGGAAGGAGGCTCAGGGGAATTTAAGCAGGGTTAGGTCTAGGGCACACCAAATTTTGATTTCTTGGTTCTTACTTAGGTTCAGGGAAGTACGAGCTATGGCTGAAATATGCACTCCCGTTAAATATTATTCCATGATTACAATAACTGTGGCAATAACAGTTACTGTACTGTAGAATTGCTTCAGCAGCCAACTTCAAAACAATAAGAAACCTCGAGCTTCTTTTCCATCATACCGCGCAACTATCCCACAAAAAGACTAATAAATGAACAGTACACTTTCACAATACACACATTGAACTTTTCCAAGCAATGACTGTAGCAAGTAGTGGATCAAAATAAAGTTGTGCATTTACTTGTTGTAAACAGATTGTGCAAGTTGAAGCTCTAATTTCCATTTTTCAGTACAGTGCCCTCCAATGATGCAGACTAATGCCTGAGGAATGTGGCTATGAGTCAGAGGTGTGGTGTGGTAATATGTGATTGATAACCAGTGTGATCACACTTAACCGCAGCTGTCACATAAATGTTAACCATGTTCACCTCTCTGTTACCGATAGAAGTACATGTATCTTCAACAGCAGCTATATGGTATGTATTGATCTCACCATGAGTCATCAACCAAAATAACTACTTACTTCATACTGTCATATACTTGTAACAGATGATAGCCTTGTGTACACAATGGATGTACAGCAAGCATTATTACTCTCAAGGATTTGGCTTGAGATTGGGATATCAAAAGTTTAGTTTGAGACAGTAGCATTTTATAACGTTTTCTTGTGCATTAGTAATGTCATGCATAGTAAAATCCCTGGGTAATAGGAGATAGCATACATCACCCTGGTTAGCACCTCCTGGCAGATCATACAGGAATTGCAGTTTGGAAAGGCAGACAGATAGACATATGGTTATTGAGCTTAAACTGTTGAGTTCTCCATGAAAATTTATTCCTATCTGCCATCCTATCTGGCATACGATTAGGAAGCAAAGATTAATTTTATCTCTGCTGGAAAAAAAACAAACGTTGTTTGGATTGATTTCGTGGAGGAGGAAGATTTGATTGCCATGCTGGGACAATACCTTAATTGCACGCAATCTGAGCAAATGCTAACAAAACTGCCTGATTGCTTTTATGTGTGTACGTGATATCCATACATGCACATGTACGTTCTGTACCATCAATGTCACAGGCATATGCTGTCTATGGGATTGAACAAGACTGCATGGGTTTGAAATACCGCCTGCATACTTTTGTACATCTACATGTATGAATTAGAAGTGCATATAATATACCGGTTACTGCAGGTTAAATGGGAGTTATGCAGGTATTTCTGATGTCTACCTGAAACTAAACTGCACTGTACAAGTACTTACATGATTGCATGTGTAGATTTTACTTTGTTGAATTGAAATCTTCCACTTTTTCCTGACACCATGATCTACATGTATTTGTATAGGACAACACTCAAAACTCATGACTCAGGGTAGCATGTTTGTAGCATGCAGAAGTTCTTATGCAGTGATACAAATGTATTTTGTTACTGACTGTAGTCACCTGTTCCCACTGTCTCACTTGCAGTGTTCACACAGGTGTCTCCCAGCTGTATCATGTACCTTTACCTGTAATTTGTTAAGGTATATGTGTACTCTAAGCTCCGACTACTATACCAGTAGCTGTATCATGTACCTGTACCTGTAGTACCTGTAATTTGTTCAGGTACACAGCTGTAACTCCGTCTGTTCCCACTGTCTCCCCTGCAGTGATGACGCAGGTGTCTCCCAGCTGTATCATCACCAGCTCCAAGCAGGACGAGAAAATGCTTCAGGTGCTCAGGCACAAAGGTCAGGGCATCTATGATAAGCCATTGTTTGATGTATCTTGAACCTAACATCCTGTGTCTGACCTTCTGTTGTCTGTGGAATCCCCCCCACCCACCTGCTGTCACTCAACAGTATTTTTTATTCATTATTCGTATGATAATCGGAAGTAAGTTAAAGTTTTCAAATGTATTTCTTCTCGTCTCCAGAGCCCACAGTGCTGCTGTCCAGTGATGAAGAAGAGGCTGGTGTTCAAGTGGAGGTGTTACCAAGCATCGACTTCAGTAAATTTGGCTTCTATACATGTGGTTTTGATTGCTTTTCGATGGCTCGTAAAGGTTTTTAAGTTACAGGAAAAGTAGGTCTGAACTCTGATATGATAACTGGAATGCGTTTAATAGTAATATTTTATGGTATTTTTGAACTTGTGGATCACACAATGACCAGGTTTTACATTTAGTTCTGTTTTACATTGTGTATATATGCTAGATATTGTTTTAACTTATCAAAGATTCAGGCACTTGTCAATTTGAAACGTAAGTCCTGAAAGCTGTTAAATTGCTCTGTCCTGAAGGCTTGGAGGTGTGCAAGAGACGTATCTTGGCTCTGAACCTGCCTAGCATCCCTCAGCACTTCACCGAGTCAGAACGAGTCATCTACCTGTCATCTTTGGTGGCTTTCGAAAATGTCAACATGGTAAGAAATTTGACATCTGCTGTTACAGTTAGATTGTCCAAACCTCTAGGCTTCATATTGCTCAGACTTCCTATCAAAATTTCCTACTCCATTGCTCCTAGAGTCCTACACTATACTCTTTTCTTCTTTACCAAACAATGATTATACTTATGACAATAGTATCCTCTCCTCATACCTAATATTATTCAGCTCAACCATATGAATGAGCACTGTGCTCAATAATTTTAGGTTTCCAACGTGCAAAAACACAGGGACATACATGTACAAATTGAATCATGTATCCACACGAAGCCAAATAAATCAAGCAATAAATTCTCTGACGGGTCATGAATATTATCCAGTTCTTTTATTTGTTTTGTTTATTTTTACATAATGTTACAACCATCCACACGAACTTTGACGTTCCTTTAAAATGTTTATTGACACAGTTTGTTTTTGTCACGTTTCTTGTCACCTTGGCCAGGTACGAGCCACCGGAGCGCTCCTGAAGTACCTGGATAAGAACAGGATTGGGGTGGAGCTGGAGGATGCAGATGTTCGTACACCTGTCCTCGCACTCAAGACATTCTCCTTGTAAGACATGATTCATAGATGTCTGCGTTACTACATTGTACAATAATTTCATTTACCAATAAAGCTAGTACATGAAATTGCTGTAACCTCTTCACTGTTGCTATTTCATCTTGCCTCTCTGCTTTTCCAGAGAAAACATCATGATCATAGATGACAGCAGCTACAGGTACATACAATGTATTTATGTTCAAGTGTACTATCTTGTTCGTCCCTAAAGGTGGAGGATGACAAATGGCCTTTTTTTACTAGTACTATATAACCTCAACCAATACATTCAACTGATGATGATGATGATGACAAAGTTTGTCACTCCTAAAGCTGACCATGTTTTATAATTTGACATTTAATACTGCTCTTCAGATGTGTTCCTTGGTGTTTTTTATTGACAAAAACAGACAATTGCTCTATAAATTTCTTGCCAAATTTACCCAATACATTATAGAAGATCTAGGTAGCCCATTGAGGTACCCAACCCTGTTGTATTTTGCCAGTGCTTTGCAGATTTTTCAGAAGGAATCCCACCCATCGGTATACAAGTCAGGCAGTGGTGCCAAAGAGGGCCTGAGCTTGTTTGGTGAGGTTTTTAGACAAGCCAGTTAGTTGCCCACGAAACTGTTCATTCTATGAAGTTAGATCACCGTGAAAACAAATGAATTTACTGTATGTGGTATATGGGAGCTATCCCCTCTTCTCCAGAACTACAAGCATTGTGATATTGAAGAACAGAGTTCAATAAAATTGTAGTTGGCTTGGGTTGACATTCCCCCTTTACTGGTCTGTTCCGGTTGACCAACTTTTCCTGTGTATTATAATGAATCTTTAAGAGCAGAATTTCCAGAAGTTGCATTAATTGGTCCTTACCAAGTTTCATTTTCTTGTCACAGGTATCATGAACAGAACCAAGTCCATCCTGGGAAGCCGTATGATGCGGTCAGTATACAGAACCTCTATAGATATATTTGTTTTATACAATTATTGTGCGTCTCTCAATCAGGACTCAAATTACCACCTGTGTATATGCACCTTAGCAGCAGGTATTTCTTATGTCTACATCTACCTAACCTGCACTGGCCCATGTACTGGGTATATACATAGTATTACATGTAGATGTGTATATGGATTGTGAATATGGATGTGAAATTTGTATGAATTCTTTGGCACCGCTAATAATTTTGCTGCCTTTCCCACAGTCTGTGGTTCCAGCGCCCCCTACAGGACCTTACGGTACTGCAGCAGAGGCACGATGCAGTTGAGTTTTTCGCCAGCCCCTCACACATGGAGGTGACCTCCTCTCTACAGGACTCACTCAAACACATGAAGAATGTCAACGTGAGTACTTAAACCATTCATTTATTTATTTAATTTATTCTTTAATTCAGGCACCATAGGCACATATTCTTACATATTAACAGGGAGGCATTATATATTAAACGGGAAAAAAAACAGTGAGATACGGTGATAAAAAACATAATAAATTCATTACCATTTGAACTCATATGTCAGAGTGAATCACAAGCTAAATATGATACCATTGTTAGAGTCGAGGAGGCAAATGACAAATTAAGTAACCATGCGTCTTTACTTCAAAGCAAAGCAAAGCAAAGACATGTTTTATTCTTCTACAATAAGATTAAGTCCCCAGAAGAATACAATATGTCATATGTAAATGAAATTACAGTATACTGCTATCCTTATACTTAAAGTACTGGCCGTATGCTTTTTACAGCAAACTAATAAAATTTGTAATTACATGTATATATAATCTGCCTTTCACTGTTGTAAATGCTGTAACTACAGTTATTTGATAGCAAAGCCCATCCTACTTTGGAATGGCACACAGCTCATAAGGCCTGGCTCCATTGGCTGTATGCTTTTTACAGCAGAGTAATAAATTTTATTATACATATATAATCTACTTTTCACTGTAAGTTGTAAATACTGTTTTTTTATGATGAAGTCAAAAGCCCATCCTACTTTGGAATGGCACACAGCTCATAAGGCCTGGCTCCATTGGCTGTATGCTTTTTACAGCAGAGTAATAAATTTTATTATACATATATAATCTACTTTTCACTGTAAGTTGTAAATACTGTTTTTTATGATGAAGTCAAAAGCCCATCCTACTTTGGAATGACACACAGCTCATAAGGCCTGGCTCCATTGGCTGTATGCTTTTCACAGCAAAGTAATAAATTTTATTATACATATATAATCTACTTTTCACTGTAAGTTGTAAATACTGTTATATGATGAAGTCGAAAGCCCATCCTACTTTGGAATAGCACACAGCTCATAAGGCCTTGCTCCATTGGATATGCCGAGCTTCCCCACAGTGGATGGTGTAGGATCGCCCTCTGGCAGCTTGAAGGTGAAGTGCTGCAGCAGATACGTGGTGAACATGAACAGCTCCATCTTGGCCAGTTGAGTGCCGAGGCAATATCGCCGACCTGAACGATAAAAACAGAGGCACTGAACTCAATGGCTGTTAAGCTCACATGAATAGATTGAAAAAAATCACGGTTGAATATAATAATAATGAGTTTTAGATTGGTCGTAATAGAGCTAACGTAATGCTAACGTAAAGATATATGTAGACAAAGATACATGTAGACAAAGATGTAGTTTAAACACTTGACTTCATTTCTTCCAAAATTGTATGACAGCACAATTGCACAGATTCACTACAGCATAAGACACATTAGAAAGGACATTTAGAACAAGTTTGTTACTGCATTTGTAGCTATTCATCATGACAATTGACGATTATACATGGAAGAAGGGTTCAAGTGTCTTTGTGGCAACGAAGAACTTACCAATTGAGAATGGTATGAAGGCATCTTTCTTGACGCACTGCCCTTGGTTGTCAAGGAAACGTTCCGGTTTGAACTGGTCCGGTTCCTCCCATAGGCCGGGGTCCCTCAGTACTGACCACAGGTTCACATGCACCATGGTGCCTCTGGGAATGTCGTAGCCATACATGACCGTATCGTTTGACGTACAGCGAGGGATGGTTAAAGGGGCCACACTGTTGATCCTCTGTACTTCCCAAACCACGGCCTCCGTGAATGGAACCTCCTGGCGTTTGGCCGTTGTTGGTGGAGCGCTGTCCCCAAACGTACGGTAGATTTCCTCCTGGGCTTTTTCCTGTAGCTCAGGGTAGAGTATCATGTAGAGGAGGATCCAGTACAAACTCTGGGCGGTGGTGTCTGTGCCAGCAATTATCAGATCAACAACAATGTACACCAGTTGTTGGTCAGTGAAGTTCTTTCTTTGTCCGCGCCTCATTTGTCCGCGCCTCATTTCTTGGATGTAGAGATCCACGAAGTCCCGGATATCATCTGGTTCGAAGTCTTGTTGATGTTCGTCGACCTTCAGTTTTATGAACTGTCGCATCGCTTCCTTTGCCTGGAGTAAGGTCCGAGCAGATCGCCCCAGTACCGGGAGGTGGCGGAGGAACCTGGCTAACTGACCAATGACGATTGAGGTTCGAAACTGGGTGTCCACGTGCTGTAAGAAAGTCTTGAAAGCAGGGTCTTCGTATTCGTGCCGTGCCCCGAACACGATTGAGCATACTACGTTGGTCACTGCCTTCCGCAACAGAGAGAGGATGTTGAACGGTTTACCTTCTGGGAGAAAAAAGATAGTACATAGAAATGATAGATTATAGGAGAATGTGAAGAAGGAGATTGTGAATACTTTGTGCTCCTTTTTCCGTCAATAACAACAGGGCTCGAAGTACAAAAATGTACTGGGTGCATATATGCAGCTTGCGGTGCCAGGGCCACTATCCCTTAATGAGGGCCTGCATGCCCTTTTTTTGTAAGGCGTAATCAGGCCGTTCAAGTCTTCGTAATCCATAGGCAGCCATCCAAAATCAACGTAATTGGTAATCAGTACATTAGAAGTAACGTGTAATTGGTTGTTTTCATTCTAGCATAGGCAGTTAACTTTCTGCAATGTAAAATGTAATCTATAACGTACTTCATGATTTAATGTAATTCTGAGAATTCAGCGTAATTCATAATCGGCAGTGAAAATTTTGTTGCGTAATTTGTAATCACTACCCCCATGCTGGCCTTCCTGAATTGTTGCAGGTTGATATTCACCTGTCTTTACAATCTCCCTTCCAAGAGCGTCTGCCTCCTCCAGGATTTTCCCCTCCAAGCTTCTCTTCCCGAAGCCAAAGTCTCGCAGGCCTGCCATGGTGAACTTACGCTGTTCCTTCCAAAATGGACCATAGGGAGCAAAAGCAATACCTGCACCATTCAGGGCACAAAAACAAAAAAAAAGATGCAACAGTTACTACATATGTATTTTGTTTCTTTGTTTTATTAGCATCTTCATTACTGTTTTATATATTTTTCGCTACTCTTCCAGGTACATTATTTGGACCATTGCATCCCGGGACATGCTCCTAGTACTCTTTTTCAAAAAGTGTTGTGGGTTCTTTAACTTGCATGAGGCATGCCTCTCCGATCCCCAAACATTTGACCTGTCTGAGTGACGTCCCTAACCAAAACTCAGTATAAGGTACTCATTTTCACCTGAGTGAAGTAAGGAAAGCCTAAACTTTTCCAAGGGCACAACATATGGCATGTTGGTGGATTTGAAGTCCTATGAGTTCTGGGCCAAATACCCAACCATTACACCACACAATTCAACTATATTTTACTACTGATTTTTTTTAGGATAAACAGTTGTTTAGCCAGAAATGCTTTGAAAGGTACCTAGAGAATTGTTCATCCCTGGTCGGTCTGTAAAGTCCTCTGCCTTGTTGATGAGAGCCTCCTGTATGGTGTCATATCCGTTTAGAACCACGACTGGTTTGGGCCCGTAGTAGATCATGAAGACATTCCCATACTGGTTGGTCCACTCTGTGAACTGTAGGTGTGCCTTGTCCTAAAAAAGACAACAGAATCTGAACTGTAAAACAAATTAAGCACTAATTATATCAGCTAACCTGACTCGAAACAAACAGCATAATTAAGAACTAATTATAAGCTTACCCTGCTTAGAATGAACAGGTTTCCGAAAAGGGGCCATGGGCGGGGTCCTGGTGGCAGGTTTCTGGGCCTCCTGAACATCTTGTAGATCAACAAAAACACAAAGACAGCCAGAAAAGCTGTCGTTAAGTTAGTGTAGTCAAGAATCACTGCGGCAAGGAGCTTCAAAACAGACATGGTGTACTCAGGACGGTCCTTGGCTGGTCTTCAGGAGTTGCCTGTGAAGATAGTATTACAAGGTCAACCTTTTGTAAGGTCACGGGTCAAAGAAAGGAAGCCAAGGCCATATTGTGTCCTGTTATCAGGTGACCGATAGCCAATGGCCGATGGCCAATGGGGAAGTGAGAAGGAGGGTTCATTAACACCTCAATGGGATGGTCTGAATTTCACCAATTGTTCAAGGCTAGTAATAGTAGTAGTATATAATTTGGTATTAAAGGGGTGTTTGTAACAACTTTAGTGTGTTCTGACTTAGTTGGGTTATTATGGCTTAAAAAGTTAAAACTTGCTTAAGGGCTGGCCCCCAGGTGGCTTCTTTAATTACCTTAATTAAAAGCTACCTCTGTTAATGCATTTGAATGAGCATTGTAAAAGCTGCCTTTTTAATGACTTGGAGACTTGACAGCTAAAATAGGTTTGGAGACCAGGATACTATAAAAAATGGCTAACTAACATTTAGTATTTCAGTCCTAATGTTGTTATTTATTTTCCCCATTCAGCGAGTTTTGGCCAGAATGAGATCAGGCCAGGCTTCAGTGGGAGACTGGCAGGCCCTGTACAAGGTAACAATAATTAACAAATAATTAATTAAAGCAGATGATGGCAATAAGATTTTTTTTGTCCTCATTTGTAGTCTTTATGTCTCAAGACTAATATATATGATTGTTGGAAAATTTATGTTCATGATTAATTACAGCTGACATGATTGAAAAAGTCAACAATGGTCACCCAAACTTTCAGAATTTTTTTTTGAGGACTTAACTGTCATTTTGGCAAACAAGTCTGAGAACTAAAAAATCTAAGAAATTCAATTTGATTGGGTGTAGCTTTGATTTTTTATTTGTTTTGACTTTTATGTTGTTATTTTGTGTTTTTCAGACTGCCTACAATGGGATCTACATAGGAGATGTGTGCAGGGCCCAGCCTCAGCATATTCACATCTTCAACAGGGTGTGTTGTACACGTGTACCTCCTAATGTACTCAACTTGGTATACTGACGATTTTTGACGGTTTGGGCAAAATTTTTGTGTCATGGGCTAATCTTTAATTTCCACCTCAGGTTTCCCAGAGTTTCTCTGATGATCTTCATCGTATTGCAACACTCATCCATAAGATAGTAAGTACTAAACACTTAAAATTGTATCTACACAGTTATGCAGTTTTCTGGCTTGTGCCTAGGCTCTACTGCCATATAACGGTACTTACATGTATAGGTTCTTTTGATGAATTTTGATTATAATTATGAATTTTAATCCAAAATCTTAACCTACAAACGGCTTAATGTCCCAATCTATTAACAAGTAGTACATGAACCCGACGGTGTGTTTTTCTTGCAGGTAGATTTTGAGGAGAGCACAGTTCACAACAGACTGGTGGTGAAGCCACATGTCGACCCTGAGTTGGACGAAAGTAAGACTAGGAGAACAACAGTTACTTAAAGTAGAGTACTAGATTGAAGAAAATTAATTTTAGAAAATTTTTTTTTCTGTGCCAGAAATCCTTTTTTCTTTGTACAGAATAGCTTTAACTGCTTCATTATGTTTCTGCATCTTAAGCCAGAAAGGGTTTGCTACCTGGTATCTCAGATTGCCTAATGTTAAGTGGGACGTGAAAACAAAAAAACATAAAAAATGTCATCTGCACCGAGTTTACAATTTTTTGAACTCTTTGACTTTCCCCCAGAAAAGCGGACGTACAATGGCCTGCCAGACTTTATGACCAGAGTAGCGCGCGAAGAGTTGAACAAACTGGATGACAGCATTACAGAGTGCAACGTCATCTACCTGCCACAGGTCAGCTTTCAATTAGTTTTGAATGTGATTAGTCTTCAGAATTTGTTCACTTCAGTACAACACACATAGTTGAATGTAGTGTTGAAGCTTCGTTCCAACACAAGAAAGGAACTCACCATGACTTTTCAGTCAATCTCGTCAACCTTCGTCATTACACTGACTTTTCAGAAGCCAGAAGTGTGTTGACCTCATTGGGAGAAGACAGAATCTACAACCACCATGAGAGAGTTGATGCACCCTGATCATTTAAACTGCCTCCTTCAAAATGTAGATTGAAGTACTGTTCACAGATTAGTATTAGACTTGTTGTTTGTCCTATTGTAACAGTTATGCTGCTTTTTTTACAGTTGGGCTACCTCCTGGCCATCCCCTGTACATCTCAGATAAAGGAGGAGGATAACTTCCACATGCCAGGGCTGGAATTTGTGGTGAGGACAGACTTAAAATTGTAAAATTCAGTCATTTTCATGCATATGGTTGGACTTGATCTCCTATTAGAGATAGGAATAGGAGGTTTTTGAATTGTTTCAAGTTTATCTTTTAATTCCAACGCAGTTCCTGTCCAATGGCATGGTTCATTACAAGAGTGCCAGTACCAGAGGTAGGTGAGAAACATCCTTTTTCTTACAAGGCTTATATTTATTATTCCGCAAGTTGGTATATGTAGATGTACATGTGTTGTGTGTATATCTTTCTGTATTTAATGTAAAATGTGTTATGGATCATTTTCCAAAGGCCTAATATATAAAGCTGCTTAAATGCAACATGTAAGCCTGCTGTGAGTTATATTTAGCCCCAAGAACTGGCCAAGTCACCTTCATTTCAGAATTGGATGCCCTTCTTGGAGACACACAGTGTGAGATAACAGGTAATGTAGAAATAATGACATGCTACGTTACATATAATACAATTTAGATATTCTGAAGCTACACAGTAAAAGCATGACATTTTGATTTGAATTATAACATGAGATGGTATTTTAGGGTTGAAAAGTTAAATGTGTCTCTTTATTTAATTTTGCATACAAAACAAGGCACCATGTTCCATCAGCAACATCACATTTTTGCAGATATGAGTACACTTGGGATAGTGTTGATTCAACTTACTACTGTAACTGTAACATCGAAAGAATTATGAGAAAATGGACTTTGGAAATCCAGTTTTGCTGCCCTGAAATTGCATTGAATGTGTTTATAACTTGAACCCTCCCCAGACCATGAGACGAGTATCATGCACAAGCTACAGAACACCATCCTGGACCACGCCTCTGTTCTACTGGACGTTATGGACTGTGTTGCTGAGATGGACTGGTTTGTGTTCTCTTATTGGGACTTCATTCTAGCCTACTATCCATCCTATTCTATCCCTGTTTTGTTCCTCTGATCAGTTCTCTTCAGTTGAATAACCTGGCACCAACAGACAAACATTTTTAGATATTTGCCTAAAATATGGGCGGAGAGTTTTTCTATTTAATTTTGTAATACATTATACATTGTATGTTAAATTTTGTAACAGGGTCTGTAATTATATACTAATTTCATCCTAATAAACTAACTAATATTACAGATACTAAGAAAAGACATTATTTCTAAATCCACAGCTTGATTGCATTTGCATCAGTCGCTAAGGACAACAATTACGTGCGTCCAGAGTTGTCCAAGGAGAGCGGCATCAGGATTGTTGGAGGCAGGTGAGTTTGAAAATACTAAATCATTCACAGTGATGATCAGACTCTTCAATCTTGTTACTACACGACTATGCATGGTTGAATCTGTATCTGTATAGCCGGTATAACCAGCCCTTTGGTGTAACATTCCAGCTTCCCCCCAACCTCTCTCACCCTTCTGTGTAACACTCCAGCTTTGCAGGCATGCAGCACGGTGACATCTGGCTACATTACACCAACTGACCTGTTACCCCTAACCTTTATACATCTAACTACAGGAGTTGCTTAGTGATGATTGTAGTTCTAGGGAAAAAAAGCAACAAATTTTTCAACTTCTCAATCCTTGGTTGATATTGCTACAGTTCTTGCAATAAAGTTCTTCCTTCTTTAATTGAACACTGCATGGGATACAGGAGTTTTCTTTTCTTTCACACAACCAAATTTTTTCACCTAATGGTGCTGACGTTTCGGTGTCTGTACTTAACTATTTTCGGAAGTTTTACACTGCATGTTTTCAGACACCCCCTGCAGGAGATGTGTGTGAGCCCGTTTGTTCCCAACAACACCGTCCTGGGAGGGAGCGGCCACCGCCTGAGCATCCTGACCGGCCCAAATGCCAGTGGGAAGAGTGTCTACCTGAAGCAGGTGGGCCATGAACTGTCCTTGAGTAAAGAAGCTCTTTTTATACAACCAAGACTAGTGTTTTATTCACAGCCAACGTTTCAGGTTGGTAAAGTATAGGATATCAGGGTTTTCTTTTACGAAAGTGTCACTTACATATGGCAGTGAGAAGCAGAACTCCAGTCAGAAGCTCTAAGGAAAGTGTCTGATAGACACCGAAACATCAGCACTTGGGTGAGAAATTTTGGTTGTGTAAAAGAAAACCCCAATATCATATACTCTTAGACTACCAACTTGATGAAACTATTTTTGGATCAAACTATACTATTACTATCGCAACTGATTCTTACAATTTACTGCTTCCTAATGATGTACAATTTATGAACCAGGTGGGCCTGATCGTGTTCCTGGCCCAGTTGGGAAGCTTCGTGCCGGCAGAGTCGGCCACGGTCGGGCTGGTGGACAGGATCTTCACCCGGATTCACACACGGGAGTCTGTGTCGGTCGGGCTGTCTACATTCATGATAGATCTCAACCAGGTCGGGCTGGTAGATTCATTCTTTCATTCATTCGTTCCTTCATCAGTCCATTTTTTGTTCATTCATGAGTCCACTTGTTTGTTCATTCATTCAATTAGTCCATTTATTCAATCTTTAGTCCATTCATTCACTCATAAGACTAGTAGATTCATTTATTCATTAGTTTGTTCATCCATTCATATATTCATTCATTCATACATTTCTCCCCCTTTCAGGTGTCTCTTGCTCTTCGCTGTACTACAGCCCAGTCTCTGGTGCTTTTCGATGAGTTTGGGAAAGGCACCGCCACTGTGAGTGCTTTCAAATTATTCTATGTATTTGGAAGCCCATTTCATACCATAAAGTATCATTACTATCAAGAGGTCCTGGTCCGGAGTACCTGTATCGAACATTATCATAGCCCACATACGTAGAAATGTATGCATGATCATGACGAATTGAATATACACCATCAGTTAAGGTAAAAATGTACCTCTGTTATCCTATAGGTTGATGGTATTTCCCTAATGACAGCCAGCCTATGCCATCTCTTGTCCCGTGGGGCAGGCTGTCCTCTTACCATCGTCTCTACACATTTCCACGGACTGGTCAAACAGAACCTACTGCCCTCCACACAATATCTAACATATCAGGTCAGTCAAACACTATCTAGCATATAGTTTAGTTATACAGATGTAGGTTAGTCAAACAGAACCTACATTGTACGGCCCGGCCCTTCACACTATCTAACATATCAGGTTAGTTAAACAAAACCAGTAGGTCCTACATTTTCTTGTCTGTCTTGTACACAAAAAATTCTTCTTCCAACAAGACTAATTTAGAATATTCAATAATGAATACCAGTTAGAAAGGAGAAACTGTGCAATGTATTTCTGATGTCTACCTACACCTTACATGCACTGGTCCATGTACTAGGTTTATACACATTGTATAATATACCCTAGGTGTAGCATATTTATTTGCTGCATTGATTGGTACTACCTATAGTTTAAAGAATGATGGCAATGTTTCTGATGGCAATGCAATTTTTAGTATGATCCATACTTCTCAAAGTCAGCAGTGCAGGTATGCAGAAAAGTATTTCAAGCCCTGACAATGACAGTGTTGTTTGTTGTGTTTCAGATGATGGAAACGCTCCAGGACGGTGAGCAGCTGGTGTTCTTGTACCAGCTGGTAGAGGGCGTTGCTGACAGCAGCTATGCCTGCACCATCGCCGCTCAGGTGGGGCTGCCCAGCGAGCTTATATCCAGGGGAGCAGAGGTGGGTAGCGGCTGTGACTTTAAGCCTCCTGTGCAGCCTTCAAGCATGTGGGAGTTTTGATGTTCTTTTGCCAAAGAAGGTTACATGCACCATGGCAGTATAACCTTCTTTGGTGGTACTGTATAACCTCCACTAGCAAAAGAACGCATTTAATGCAGTATCAAAACTCCCACCCTCTGGGATCCCTGCTCAGGAGGCTAGCTGGGACCACGCACTCATCCAGTCAGTACTGGATAACAGTACAAAAGGATTTATTATTAAGGAGGGGCTGTTATTTTCCACATTCGATTTGATAGATAATGATTTTAGGAAACACAAAGTGCATACTTCTCAGTATATAGCTAATAGTACCTGCGAGTTGCACATGCAAAAAATGTATCAGAACTCTTGACAACTCTACAATTGCCCTCTTTGCCCTGCAGGTATCCGAGTTGATCAGAACCAACCAGCCTGTACACCGTGTGGACACAGCCAGTACAGAGACACAGTACCAGAGGTGGGTGAGCGGTCATTTCTTAGACATTTTTGACATTTAGACAAATAAAACTAACTAACTGTACATGACTGTAGTCCCATAGCCTTTTTGAGTCCACCAATATTGGGTATACTTATCCTAAGTTTCTCCTTAGGTGCTCAGAAGTTGTGAAGGAGTTCTTGACCTTGGATTTGGAGAAGAGGGATCTTGTCGACTTCCTCAAGAAGTTTGTAAGTCCTAAAAGTCAAGGAATGAGCTGAAAAGGTACTGTAACAGCACTGTGAGTTGCATAATACTTCCCTAATGTTTTGTTGTTTTAAAGAGTTATTACAGTCAGTGATGGTCAACAGTTGGTTTTAGTTTAGAAATCTCTCAAGATTAAATAACTGATAGTGACCAAGTTCTTGTGGTAACTGAATGTAAATATTTAGTGCTCCCTGAAAATGTTTTGGCAAAGGTAATAAATCAATGTACAAGTAAGCTGTTGAGCCCTTTTCTTCTTTATTTCTCAGTAACTTTAACATGGAAAACACAATATAATAGAATTTGCTACGAATACACAACTCATCTAGCCTAGATACCATTCCTGGTTAGTTTACGTCTGCTCCGATAGTCACTTAACCCGCCATTTGTTTATTGGTGGATAGCTACATGTAGCCAGGATGATACCCAGGTTACAACTCATTCATTTTGTGGGGTAAAATTAATGTAATACTGATGTCAGAAAGAAAGAACACTGTCAGCATACAATAATTGTCGTTAATTAATAAAATGCTCGTACATATAATGCAGATAATGATTGTGTTACCAAGCCTTGGGCTATATTACATGTATATAATGAAAAACAACAAAGCGCATTATGTATCCTAGAAAAGTCCTAATGCAACCAAAAATACTGTTAAGTCCTAATATTTGTATTAAATCTATACATGTACAACAGTAACAGCAATCCTATTAATAATATATACTATTTAATTTAGGTCCATACAAATTCTAGTTTTAAGTTAACATCCATGTCCATGAAATGTACATCTCTTCTTTTGAAAATAAAACTCCCTTTCAAAATTTCTTTACAAACATTTTCTAATTAATAATAAGGTGTTAAAAGTCTGTGAGAAAGGCGTGTCACACTATTTGTGTGTTTGCCTTTGTTTCTGTAGTTATTTATTTCCACATGCTAAGCACGTTAGGGACACTAACAGAAAGTTATCATAAAGAAAGCTACATGTAATATGGCTTTTATTCACCACACAAAGAGATTACCTGTGCCCAAATGACTTTTTCTGTATATTCCACATATTTTCTACCATCATAAAATTGGTCTCATCATACTTTTTCTGAAAAGTGTATATATCAATATCAAGAATTTATAGTTTGATTAGTAATTCTGTAATAATCCTTGTTGTATCATAGACTTTCTGTACAATTCAGCTCCAGTGTGGGCAACACTTCAAAGCTACCATATAACCATACAAATAATTCTACTGTGTCTCAAATTTAGGCCATACCAATTTAATTTCTTGGTTCTATGATTTACCTACTTCTTCTTTTTAGTGATTTGCAAAAAAAGCTGATCATTTTTAGGTTCTGAACTAACGCCCAAATGCTCATACTTTGGCACCAACAGTTGAATAAAGTCCTTCCTAATTTATTTTCAATTTATCAATATGCAGTGATTTGATCAAAAGTTGAAAAATCAATGTTATAATTACAAACCAGCTCCAATGCCCAGACCTGTTTTTTTCCAGACCACTTCATTTATTTCCATGCCAAAAGCCGAGAACCAACAAATTAAATTGGTGCAGCCTTGTGTCTAAAAGATGAAAAAGGAAAAGACTAGAACTCAATGTGATATTTTCATTTCAAATGACAAGTGGTCACGCTCCATAAATTTACCTCAAAGTCTCTCCCATCACAGAAACTACTGGCTATTATAAACTAAGGTCACCTGTCAAATGACAGTCTACATTGTATAAACATGAACAAATAAACCTGAACAATAATAAAACATTACTTTTTATACCTCTGAATTAAAATATATTTTCTTTCAGATTTACAATTTCGTTGATATCTTTGGTTTAATCTGACATACATTGTTAGTAGCAGTGTCAGGTACTCTTTTTAAGTAGTGGGTTGTGGGTTGTCCTTGTCAAATAGTCGGGTGGGAAATCTGACCACCTCTCTCACGCCAGATGCAATACCCCACAAAGCTGTCAGGGGGAGCTGCAAGAGCCATGTCAAACCGCCTGTGCTGTTTTCTAGCGGGGGCGGTTTGGGACGTTTGGCTTTTTTAGCTTCTGCAAAAATAGAAGAGACATAAACTGTTATAGTTACTTCTGTAATGCATGTCGAGAAAGTGCTCTAATTTGAATAAAATGAACAACAGGTACTGCATGTAGGTAAGAGCTAGTGGTGTAGCTCAAATGATTGGAATGAAACATAACTATTACAAACTTTAAAGTACACTTGCTTATGGTGAATCTATTTCCAAGTCAAAAGTGCAGACTTTTAAGATTGATATGGAGTCAAAACAAGTAAAACTTCCTAGTACTAAGTACAGGTACATGTACGTTATTTATACAATATTTCATTGAATATACTAATTCTTAGATAATGTTGTCTACAAGATTTTTAAAAAGAAATAGGCTGAGCATATTGTGAATAATATTAGACACCAAAAAAATTGTTTTAGTAACCAAATGGTAACAAAGAAAACTTAGTAGATCGTCGTACCTATCAAGGCTTCAAGGTCCTTGCTGTATTCATTTTTGCCCAGGAACAGGGAGACCAGTTCTCGTAGTTTCTCTGCGTCGGGCATCTCAAACACAAACTCTCCGCCTTCCTCTGTCTGCACCATCACATAAACACCTCCTCTGGAAAGTACACATGGTCAGGGTGACGTTAAATGTTTGTCAATGAAGGATAGACATCCAGGAAATGAGATATTGATAGGATGTAGTGGATGCTACTTGAAATGTCTTGAGTAACAATTTCTTGTGTAATTGATGTTTGGTTCGTGTAACAGTTTTGACTTCAGTCCACAACTTGCAGGTTTTTGCACTCTGTCCTTGGATATTCTGGTACACACCTAGCCTCCTTCGCAGACTTTTGCAGCGGTGGCATTAATTTTTTTCAGGGAGCGACATGAGACATACTGCTGTAGAGAGAGTTTTTGCCATCTGCAAAGGAGGCTACTGTACTATGCATCCCCTATTGTAAACGTATAAATCAAAACACAAACCTTTCACAGATGGCTCACAATCGGTTCCTAGTCAGAACACTGGTACCCACCCCCTGCCCACCCCTGTTGTCAATGTACATGATCAAAACTGTTTAGATCAAAACCCACAAACCTCTCGCAGACAGCCTTGTTGATGTGGCGGAACTCCAGCTCCAGTAGCAGCTGTTGTTTCCCGTTTTCAGCCCGAGCCTCCTTTAGCAGGAACAAACCCCGCCAGTTCACAGCCACAATCAGGTTGTGCAGCTTCACATCCTCACCATCAGGGCCAGGGCCACAGAACTTCTCTGGGAACCAGAAGGGAGTTTGTTTGTTCTGGTTTTTTTTATTCCAACATTTCTTGACTAGACATATATGACGGCACACTCAAGTTATATCAACTTATTTTATGCCGCCACCACCACAGAGTACAAATACAGGACAGGACAATACTCATTTTCACTTGAGTTAAGTCGTGTAAAGCGCCTTTCCCAAGGGCACAAGATTGGTGGCATGTCTTGTGGACTCAAACCCGAGACCTCTTGGTTCCGAGTCGAGCACTCTGCCGCTACGCCACACGACCCCACGACATGTTTATTTGATTTTATATATTTCACCAGGGGATACATATTGCCTGAGGGCATTTTTCAATGTGCCATGATTTACATCAAAATCAACTCAGTCCAAATTACAACAAAAGTAACAAAAAATGTTTGTGCTTACCTGCGACAAAGAACCTGGAGAAGAGAAACGGCCATTCCACCATCGCCTGTCTCACAACCGCTGCCTTCGCCTTGTCAACTGTCATCTCTGGGTCTTCCTCTAGTAACTGTAATCATAATGTCATACTTATCAAGAGTTGATCATTCGTGTATGCAGCCAAATATTGGTTAATTAAACATGACTCAATACAGCTAGGTCCAGAGATTCCCTAGCCTAGCCTAGTGCCAATACCATGTACCAGTACACCAAACTTATAATTATAGGGTATTTTATTGTTTGTTTTTTAATATCCCTTGTTATACACAAAGAAGGATGTGTACAAGCTTTAATTTCCTTTTTCATCACATTGCATAATACTGTTCAACATTTTGGTCTCAAGACTCAATGTTACAGTAACTTCAGTGTTTGAAAAGTATAAGTGATTGTGTGAGTGAGATCACCTCTGGAATAGGCAACCTGTCAACGTACAGCTACACCTACCTTTTGGAATGTATCGTAGATGAGTTGTGCCCAATAGTCCTCCTTACTGGACTTAAACTTGTCTTCAGGAAGGTAGAAATGTAAAGTGTTCTTGATACTCTCCACAGACGCTGGCTTGCCTCTGTCTATGTAGTAAGATTTGGACACAAGGTCTGCATAGTCTTCATCCTACAGTTGTCAAATTAAAGAGTTAGAAAAAATAAATATAACACTATTCAGTGAATAAATCAGTAATGATTCTTCAGTTTTAATTATTTTCAATTTTGGCTTCTTTTTAACACATTTTAACACAAAATTAACAAGCTACAAGGTCCCCTCATTCTTTTTGTGGTGCCAATAAATACCCAGATGTAGTTGGTTTGAAAACAACAAAATATTGCATCTATGAATTTGTTCTGAGAAATGTTTGGCAACCTGAAAAACCCTTTTCAGCACCAAGGACAGATACCATATCAACATTTGCAACGTTTAATGAAATGAGCAAGGGAGCAAACTGGGCTAAAACAAGTTAGAAACCAGGCTACCTTATACATGTACCAGCATTCCATAACTATCCTAGCTAGGTCAACTTTCAATTATTGTCTCAGTGACTTACCGTTTCACACTTGTACTCCTCAAAGCGAATCCCACCCACCACCTGCTGGAAGACTAGATCTGCAGCAAACTTGTCGTCACTTGGGTCCTAGAAGTAACAGATGATTATGATATTACACAGCTGAAGGCAATTGCTACAACATTATGTTTGAAAAGAGCAAATCTTAGATCTCAGATATTGAAGTTTCTTTCTTTGTAGTTTGTGTACTAACCTGCCACGGTGCAAACAGCTCTTTCCTGAGGTAGAGCTCCCAGGACACCTCCCGCTTGTTCACGTTCTTCAGTCCCAGCTCAATCTCTGCGATGTCGTCCATGATCAACTCATGTCCATCTCCCAGGGAATACACCTGCAATTATACCACATTGTGCAATTGTAATATAGGCTAATTCTCGTATCAAGGGCTGCTTTCAAAAATACATGTATGAATACCAGATTGGAATTGATGTGCTGTTCCCAACCGGTGCAATGGCCAAGTGAGTAGAGTGCTTGCCTTTCATTTGCTAGGTCGTAAGTTCGAATCCCTAGCTGAGTCATACCAAAGACTTTAAAAATAGTACATACTACTCTGAGTCTAACTGCATGCTTAGCACTCAGCACTTGAGAAAGAGTATGGGAGTTAAACATACACCACTAACAGTGGACTAGCCCCCTACTGTAGTGATTGCACAAATGTGTGGCCCGAGGGTTATGAAATGTATGTGACCATGCTAATAGTTGTAGGAAGGACTAGAACTTTGTTAAACTGTTCCCTACCTGATGAGACACTGTCATGTAGAGACAGAAGCCAAACTTGTCCCTGATGCCGACCTTCTTGGCTACCTGATGTGTGATCTCCTGTATGGTGGAGGCTGAGTCCATCAGCACCCTGACTGTGTTTCCGTCCATCAGGGTGACAGGTACCTGCAGGGGCTTCATGGTGCAAATTGCCTAAAAAAGAAATATGTCAAGTATCATTTCAAGTCGTAGCATGCCTAGTCGGCTTGTTAGGGACCCTGCCTCTGGACCAAGAGGTTGGTAGTTCGAATCCCGACTGACCCTACATGCACGCTACTGGAAATGGTCACAGTCCTTATCGCGGGTGGTCCACTGTTGATTGTGCTTGTCAAACAGAGCTAGGGGAATTTCTCCAGTACAATGAACCTGTAAATACTGTACATATCATCTATCTTTTCTCACAATCGAAGATAAGCTCTTCAGGGAGCTAAAAAAACTGGGGGGAGATTTTGTTCATTTTCATAAATGTAGTTGTTTGAACTTCAGTTGGGACAAAAAGGAGGTAGTTTGGTGCTCTCCTTGGTGCTGACATCACATGTTCTAGACATGAGATGTTTTCAAATCAGGTATCTGTCCTTGGTGCTGAACCTACCTGCAACTCAAGCTTTGCAGCTTCTAAACACTGCAACTTGACTTTAACTCCTATCTTTGTCAGTTTTATCCAGAAATAGTGCTGAACGTACCTGCAACTCGAACCATGAAGGTGGAAGAGACCTGGTGCCGTTCTCCAGTGTCCTTCTCAGTCTCCTCTCACAGAAGGACGCTCTGTTCCCTCCCGCAGTCAGGATAAAATTTACTAGGCACTTCAGGAACTGGACAGAACAAAATGTAGATTCTGAATTGACTACCAGGCACTTAAAGAACTGGACAGGAAAAGCATAGAGCTTGTTTCTGGGTTATTTCAAATGCTTGAAGTAATAAATGATGTGACAGTCAAAATTGTGCTAAGAAAAGGCAGCTATTTTGATCCAGAATATTTTTTTAACATATCCAAGCAGAGGTTTCGGCTTTGGCTTATTTTTGGCATGTTGTTAGGCATTTTTATCCGGCTCTATTTATTGTACTGGTACCTTTTTTTTTATGCCTGCCTTGGGTGGCAAAATTTAACTGTGTGGCAAATGGATACTGCCTTTTCTTTGCAGCTACCAAAAGATCTACCAGTACTTGAAGCATTTCACTTTTCAAGTAAACATGTTCTTACGTAAGGCTGATGTGAGGGTAGGAAGCAGCTGACACACGCGGACATGAGGAGCCAGCCCCGCTCTCGACTTCTGCTGGAGGGGTTCTTGGACAACTGCTTACACAGCTGGCAGTAGATCTCCGTCCTGTACACGTCACAACAAGAAATGTCATGAGAAACTGTTCTCCAACTAAAAGAAATTGACTTTGTGACCGAATCACTCAGAGTGCTAGAAAAATTCAGATGAACTTTCATGCAAGAAATAAATGTGGTTAACACTTCTGTGAAAGTTATTCAGATTCTGTGTTAGTAAAAGTTCATTATGTAATTATTGTAATTTCCAGTACAACCAAATTTTCAACCTTAAACCTGACATTTTGCCTGTCAATCTTGACCCCACCCATGTGCTGTCAACCCATGTGCTGTCAACCTATTATGATTATCAGTGAGATCAACTATCATTCATCCCAGCTTTGGAGGCAGCGCCAAGTAAATGTAGCTGTGAGGACTTATTGGGACAAAAAGGTGGTTGTTTGGTTCTCTCCTTGGTGCTGATGCCACATGTTCTAGCCTTCAGATGTTTTCAAATCTGGCATCTATCCACTGTACACAGAGGCATTATAATTTTTATTAAGATCACAAAACCCACTGATTATGCAGAATGTGGGACTATTCATTATCCACTGCCTTCAAAGAAGAAGTCGAACCCCATAATAGCTAGCGTAGTAGTAGAAGTAGAAGTTTTTTCCAGACAGTTGTTACCTGTCTTCTATTATTGTATTGCAATGTGTTTTATTCTTGATTGTAAAAGCAATTAGTCTTCGGGCATGATTTTGCGAATAAAGTTTCTATAATCAAATCCTAACCTGAGGTTAGAGCTGATGATGCCGTTCCCCACGATGACACAGATCTGATTAATCTCTGCGGGAGACAGACCCAGCAGCCCCAGGTCGATCTGTGGCGCCCTCCGCAGGGCAGAGTTCACCGGGCTGTCCAGCGTAGGGGAGCCTGGAGCCGGGCTACTCTGTCTGGACACACTGTCACGGGGCGACACCTTGTAGGGGCAAACATTATACAGTATAATAACAATACAGTTTATCCAGCGGCATAGCTGAAAAATTGTGCACTTTTGTCTTACGGCACCAACTTTGACACACATGTAGTTAAATGTATTCTAAGCAAAGCTGGATATGGAGGCATTTCAATTTCTGCCCTTTGACTAAAATGTGCAATCGTATAGTATATAGTATAGTGGAAAGGGACCTTTTTCATTGTAGCATCTAAAATGGCAACTTGTAAAGGCTTGTTTAAGCCATCCGAATGTGCATGAATTTCCGTCCGTTTGCACACAAACAAAATTTTTGGACCTATATACTGTACAAAGCAGCTGCAAAATGATCAGAAGTAAACTCACATTATCCGGGATCTCCTCGTTTTCCTCTCGTATCTCTCCCATGAACCGAAGTATTGTAATGAAGTTCTCCAGCGCAGCCTGAAGAAAAAATGCACATGTTCAAGTTTTGCATTTTCATTCATTTATTCATTCATGATATTATCAAGTTTTGAAGCTAGCTCAGCCATATTAGTTGTACTCATACTATTTTAGTCCTTATTGTCAACTATTTCCTGATGTGAAAGATGCTATTTACATCACTCAGCGACTCGGGGCTGACATCGTCTACCTGAGATACCTTTGACCCAGTGTTGACGTCACACTTCAAAGAAGCCATGTGACAAGCCTCACTGCCTCAGTCTGAGGAAGATCAGAATGACTGGTCAAAAGCTCTAGGTGAGAGAACTTTCTTGTGTTGGACCAGAAGTTTTAACTTTAAACTTGTAACTACCAACACAGATGAACTGTGATGATTGTTCAGTACCTGTTTGTCCTCCCTGGTCTTGTATGGCAGGAGTGGCTCATGCAGAGGTTCCACTTGCCTGTGTGCCCTGGTGCCTTCCTGGTAGTTCGCCTTCGCAAACTTCTCGTACGTGAACTCCTGAGTGACGTCTATGCTGGTGCTGTCCTCGTCTGAAGTGCCGGTTACGCCGATGTCTCGTACGTAGGATATCGGCGCCGGGCTGCCTGATCTGGACGATAAGTGTGCAGAAGTTAATAAAGCTTTAATGATGTTTATTGTATTTTTAGTATTGTTATAGATGAGAGATGGCGAATGTAAAATAAACATGTAGTTATGATGTTTTTTTGGTAGGTTTTTCTTTTAATGCCCACGATCATGATAATGATCATTCTGGCATACTCATTAAATCCCGAATGAAGTGAGGAAAGTCATGTAAAGTGTCTTTCTCAAGGGCACAAGGTTGATAACATGGCAGGATTCGAACCCAGGACCTCTTGGTTCTGAGCCGAATGCTCTGCCATTACGCCACACAACCCCACATGTTTGTGTTTACAATGTATGTAAGAGACTCCAGGAAGAGTAGTGGTGTATTGTCACTAATTGGAGGTTCCTGAAATAAACAAACAAACCAGCTTAAAGTTAAAACTTTTGATCCAACACAAAAAGTTCTCTCAGCTAGAGCTTTCGACCAGTCACTCTGGTCTTCCTCAGTAGACTGTCTCAGCGTTGATGTCACACTTCAAAGAAGCCATTCAGTCAGTCTACTGAGGAAGACCAGGATGACTGGTCAAAACCTCTAGGTGAGAGAACTTTTTGTGTTGGACCAAAAGTTTTAGCTCTAAACATGTAACTACCAGCACAGATAAACTTTTATGTTAGTAAAACAAACAAACCTTTCGCTGGGGCTCTGGCTGCCAGAGGGACTGGAGCGGCTACCGGTGTAGGAGCGACTGTCAGGCACCTGTAGGCGATCACTCGGGCCATCCTGTATACAGGCAAACAGCATGGAACAGTTTTACTTCATTCTCATTTTTATATATAATCTGTTAATTTTCTATTGTCTAGTTTCTTACCACGGATAGAGTACTCTTACTATCTCTTCATAATTATAGTCTGTGGCTAATTGGTCAGTCTTGGTCGTACAAAATATATAACACACTATACAGTCTTAAAATGCTAAAAATAAAATCAACTTCATCTCCAAGCAGATGCAAGGATCTTGCAGTGCTTAAAATATGCCTGTAAGAGAAAGCAAACTACCAAAGATGGTGTTTGAGTGTTGTGGTTCTGTTAGTAGTTAGGGGAGCCTCCTGTATGGTTTACATTAGTCTGTATACAGTACTGATTCAGTATCATTTCATACATGTATATGTATTTTATGTATGATGGTTTGTGTTATTACCTTGTGTGACAGGACCATAGGAAGAATAGCTGAGATGTCAAGCTAATATTAGTAAATTGTGGATCCTGATAAAGTCAAAGTAGTATATTCAGCACTGTACATTCGTATCCTTACTGTATTGTTACTGAAAGGTAAGCAAGGTAGGAACTTCAAGAATCCCTGGTGGTGTTGTCTATAAGAATAATCCCAATGTCCCAGTGCTGTTACAGGTGCTGTTATGTTGTTACAGGTGTGCTAACTTCAAGGGGCGGAGCTTACCTCGGAGCGGAATGAACCATTGTTGGTAGAACAGGGGCTGACAGACCTACTATCTACCATCTCCACGTCATATTGCACCGTCGACAAACCCTGGGTCAGACCCTGCAGGGCCGTGGCGAAATGCTCGGGTTAGTCGTAACCAGACCAGGGGTAACGTACGTCAACGAAGATCTTGTTTTCAAGTTGAACATTTTCTTAAATCCAAGAACTAACCAAATGAATTGACATGGCCTAATACTAATCAAAGATCGCTAGGGTCTTTAAGTTGTCATAATGTTGAAGTGGGACAACCACAAAACCCCCACACAAGTACTGTAAGTAACAGTAGGGCACGGTAAGGTAGCTAGGGCAGTCGGTTAGGTAGCCTGGGTGCCTGAGCATTTTCTTAGAACTTTTAGACCACCAATTTGAATTGGCATGGCCTAATCAAAGATCTTCTCTGAGATCTCTTTGGGATTACTTTACATAGGAAACTTAAGATCAATATTAAAAGCAGCATAGTACCACCCAGACCAGGATGTCTGATAGTGACACTGAATCCTGTGATCATAATACCGGTACATCAACAAACCACACTTATAACTATCAGACCATATTCATATTGTAATTCATCAGCACAAACTTAAAGATTTCAAAGATGTAAAAAAACTAAAAATCATAGTCAGTACCTCAAGTTTCAGCCCTTTCCTGTTCTTCTGTGTTCCTTTGTTGGACGGTGACGAAGTTTTCCCCAAGTGTCGCTCGATCTCCTTGTCGTCTGTATCGGTGTCATCGTCTGTCGTAGTCGGGACGTCACCGTGGTCTACAGAAGTCTTCTTCTCCAGGTCTCCAAGCGATATCTTACGCTCCGCGTCTTCCGCCATTTTGCCTCGTTCACCTCCTTTAATTTGCATGATGGGAACAAATCACTTAGTATTTCACTCAGAGATTCATTATGTTTTATGAGTTTTAGAGCAAACCATCTTGGGACATGCCAAAAAGCATTTTCCAAAATCATATCCAGTTGCTTGAGTAACTGCTATTTGGAATATCTTATTACCTGGATGTCTAAACTTCATTGAGACGCATCTTGGGACACTTTTGCTACAAGATATTATCTCAATTTTACCTTCTACTGACGTCTTTACTGCCTCTAAATCACATTTAGTAAAGATTCATAATTCCTAACTTCATGAAGCATCCGAATAGCTACATGTAAGGCAAACCAACAATCATTGTTGGTTTGGTTTGCTATATTTGGCTTCTACAATTGTATGCTACTTTGAAGACATACCTTATAATTTTCCTGGCATGAATAATTATGCTGATCAAAGGGGTAAGTCAAGTGTACAACACTAAATCTCACCAACTGGACATAATGTACATACCAACGCTTTGGAGACTAGATTCTGATTCTAACAGAAGAAATGACAGTAACGTTACATGTATAGATTTTATCTTTTTTGTCCTAGACCACAGCAACAGTTGCCACAATGTCGAGACAACCAAAATGACCTAAAGGACAATGCATGTTACATACAGGTGACAGTTGATGCCAAAATATGCTGCCAATTTGCCAAGGGCTATATGGCCCTAGGGTACATGTATGTCTGATGAAACTATGGTGAAATGCCAACTGACAACTATAAGTTCTACTCCTATTTGTGCACAATAACCTTTAAGTTAGTACATTAAAACATTAAAACAAAGTTTTTGTACACTCTCATTCAAGAATATTCAATTTAACACAATTGACAAAAACAGTCTGGCTCTGGTCTATTTTTAGTGACAATCATTGAGCTACAAGAATTACCATAAATTTGACACAGAATTTTTATATGCTATGAGTGTACATGTAGATATTGGTAGTGTTGTCAAGGATTTAAAGGATCTCAAAGCATAGTTATAAAGACTACAATTGTCAGCCATAATTTTATCAGTCCTTAAGTAAAGAAACAATACAAAAATAGCACATAAATTGCTGTACCTAATGAACCGAAATAATTATAACGACCAATTTACATTAGCCTTGAAAGAATTGTAAGCTAATTGTACTCAAATTTGAAACAATGCTGGTTCTTGTTGAGGTTCTTGTTGTTACCAGTAATTCCAATTGCAATAAAATGTACCAGTGTAGGCCCTGATCGTGTAAAATCGGTTCCAGATCAGAAATAACTCCCATAAATTATGTCAGAAATGCAATTATCCAATAAATCGTCTCAACAGATTGGTGACAAAATCCACACCCTTTGCAGGGTTCTTTTACCAACTGCTACAGTAAAGAAACGCCTACCTAAAGCACTTGTGCCTGGCCTAGATGATATAGAGTTCTTTACTGTAATATTATATGAAATTGAAGTGTCTGGAGCTTTTAGCAATTTTTTGGGGTGCAGAAATTTCTACTGAATGCACGGTGACCTCTATCGGCGGTCACAGGTATGGCAGGTTACTTACCTGCACGACTTGTTGTCTTAACCGTTATGAGTTCACTTTCTCTAACGCACAGGTGTGATAACACCTTCACAGAGATGTCTACACGGAAAGGAAGAGTTTCTCACCTTTTCTTGAACATTGAGCTACATGATCGCTGTGCTGTGCCGGGTTTAGTACGTGGTAGGTTCTTAGCGGCCCGGCCTCAACCGGTTGTACCGCTCACATCAAACACCGCCGGGAAGGTGTCTGTATTGTTGTCACCTGGGGGAACCTACCATTGCGCTTCACGGGGGGATTTAGTCGTCTAACTCTGTGTTTTCTTAGTCAATGGAGCGGATTTTCTCGAAGTGAGTGCCAACACAAACGCTATATTAGACATGTAGTTTTCCAACTGTAAATTCAAAAGGCTAGAACTACATTTCTAATAGATTCGTTTCGTAGCGGCCTGGCGGCAAAATGGGCGTGCCCGCTTAAGGTGAGCTGGGCTGTACGACATGACGTCACGGTGACGTCAGGCCGTATTGTCCGCATACCTGTATACAATGGTTACGGCAGGTAGAAATTATAGGATCTCTCTCGTTTACGTGTTCAAGTCGCTGATATAATTTTGCCTCAGGGTTTTAGACGTGATTGTTGTGTACCGACCTGACACGTCGCACCTCTATTCATAAATACAAAGCCATAATAATCTTACTGTATCCACGCAGTGACACGCATGCTTTCACCAAATAAGTGAGACTTGCTCGTCCGTGTACAGTTGGATGTATAGTAGCGAACGTCACTAGCTTCCATGTGTACGCACGGTATGTCAGGATGGTTAATTGTACAGGGTGGCACCATTGGAGACCATGGCCAAAATCCCAATGCAGAAGTACTCGGGTGAAAAAAACAACAACAAAAGGCCAAAATTAATTTCCAACACAAGAAATTGGACTTACCCAAATTTTCGATATGTATTTGTTAAGGGACGACAAGGACTGGCATTGTACAGTCGATAATGTGGGTAAATCAATTTTACACAACTACTTTATTTTTACACAACTACTTTAAAACAACTACTTAATATACATTATTAAGTATCACTAAAATTACAAATAATGTAAACTCTTAGCCTGTCTATGTACTGTCTGTGCGCTTGTGGTCGACATGGTTCTATAAGTTGCAGAAGTCCCTGACTATTTGTGAGGTGGGTACAAAGAACTGTCGGCTGACGGTTTCGATTATGCGCCCCATCTAGCGTCTTTAACATTATTGCAGAGAAACTTCGGGTTTTGTATATTTTCTCCTGAACACGTTACTGTGATAATTTTTCCAAGCAGAAGTTTGGGCTTGGGTTCATTTTTGGCCTGCTTAGGCGTTGTATCAGGCTTTCTTTTTTTGTGCCTTGAAAATGGTAACTGCCTGGCCAGGTTGATAGTGTAACCACCTGTTATTGTGAACAGCCTCTCGGTATTCAACAACCATGCATGAACACCTCAGCGCTCCCGTCTCCAATCCCACCTCAAATCTTGCGGCAAGCCATGTTTTGGACGTACTCGACCAATCATATGATGAGTCGCCACCGTTGACTGCGTTAGTGTCCGCTTGACTGCAGCGCAAATACAGTCGCTTCAGTTCCTAGTAATACATAGATAGCCAGGGGGCCGTAAACACCACAGATAGAACAAACTTGCTCGAGTCACGAATGTTCATTTGCACAGACACGGTCGGCTCGCATCGCGCAATGTCACCAGTGTTCTCCTATAGCCTCTAACAGGCTTCGGGAAGCGGCTGCAAACAGTAGAGGTAGCGGATCTTGTGCAACGGACCAAAGCTAACAAGGTTGGCCTCCAGGCTAGCGGCAAACTGTTCTCTTATCATCTGTCTATTTGGCCGATCTCTACTACTAGTATTTCCAGTCGCTTCCCGAAGCCTGGTAAGGGCTAGCCGACGCCTTTGTACACCGTGGGATTCTCCAAATTCGGAGAACAAAACCCAACAACAACAACAGTTCACCGTGTGCTCTGTTCCAGGGCGGGACATCCACCTTGTGTCACACCCGTGTTTATGCCTTTGTTTCTCACCTGGTTGTCATAGAGACAGTACGTAATTCGTCCAACCGGTTTGGTAGGATCGTTGGCTGGATCTGAAGCGTGCCTGTGTACAGATACTAACTGTACAGTACAGTGTCTTAAGCGTTACGGTCGGACAGACGCGTTTACTGTATACTTCATTCCGGATCCGTGTCTGTCTCTCCCCAACCAACATGGCCACCGCACGGCACAACTATGAGCTGAAGATCAAGGCCAAAAACCAGCTGGCGAAGACAGAAGACCCGATAGAGAAGCTGAGACTACAGTGTCTGTCACGGGGGTCCAGTGGCATCAAGGGACTGGGCAGGTTTGTCCTTTTGTATTGTCTGATGTTTGTGTTTTGTGTTATTTTTAGTCGCTTCAACTGTTGCACACATAACTAAGTTACCTGTCCTATAGCTAGTTCTAGTGACTGCGTAGCATTCAAACCCAAGCTCTAGCCTCACAGGGAATTGTTAGGACCTTTAATATTCATATTTCGACAGGTGGAATATCTAGTTTAAACGAAGTTAGACTGAAAGAAGCGTGTATAAGTGGAATCGTTGTTTATGCGGGTCTCACGAAAATGCCCACCTTGTACCTGTTTACCTCCCATATGTCCTTGGCCAGTTCTAGCGACTGTGTAACATTCAAACTGATTTAGCTGTAAACACAGAGAATTCGTTAGGCATTGTATTGTGATATATCGGCAGGTGGAATATCTAGTTTGAACGCAGTGACACTGGAAGAAGCGTTATGGAATGGACTCGTTGTTTATGCGGGTCACACAAAAACGAAAATACCCATCTGTTTACATATCCTGTGTTGGGGTACAGCAACGGTAGGCGCTATGTAAACGTGGCGTGAAAACTGCGAATTTAAGACATATTTCTCGCTGTGTTTTGCATCACATGGGTTCTTGTGATTAAACTTAGATTTGAGCCAATGTTGATTGTTTAAAGAGAGCTTTTAGTCTGAGAAAATGGCGGATAAAGACAAATATGCTCGACAGTAGAAAAGCATTGTTCACGTCATGTAAGCCATGCACGCTACAGCCTGTACTGTATGTGTTAGGTTTAAAAACTTCTGCCGTTAGACATCACATATAAAGCAACGAGTTCAGTACGTAGAGCATTACCAGAACATTATGTCTAAATGATTTACACTTAACATGTGAAACACAAACGGCATTCTTACCAATTTTTCGTTGTAATATTTTGATATTTTCACGCACTATTTATTTTTCCACCTGGCCGGTAGGTAACGCGGCGTGTAATTTTGTACCTTGAATTATTAATGATGTTTTAGAGTCACAGCTCAGACAACAAGAGCCAAACATCCATAATGGAGCATTTTCCTCTAGAGACATATTTATCTCATTTTAAACCAGTAACAGTTACGTTCTTAAAAACAGAAATATAGTTTTTGTCATAGTCGCTAGGCAAGCGAGGTAACTTCATGTCATAACACATGGTATGGTTGCGTTAACTTGCGTATCCTTGACTTTATCTTTGATTTCATCTGGCTGCATTGTGATTTTTTGTGATGAAGAATGCATTCTTTAAATGTTTCTAGGGTCCTAGGAGTAAATATGGAACTTGTCACATAAATATAGTCTCACTGTTTAAGGTTGGATGCTGTATATGGATCGATGGCTTAAAATGGTACTAGGCACTCAAGTACCTGTACTCTATGAACAGCAATAAAGTTTTAAAAAATGTTTCTAGGGTCTTCAAAATCATGGACGACGACGGAAACAGGAGCCTTGATTTTAAGGAGTTCAGCAAAGGTCTTCGCGACTACGGACTGTTCGTGGAACCGAAAGAGACCAGAGAACTTTTCGAGAAATTCGACACTGACGGGAGCGGGAGTATCGACTTTGACGAGTTCCTGCTAGCTTTGAGGGTATGTAACATGTCGGTTTTTGTGATTTCTGTAACATTTTAGTCATTTGTCTTTAGCCTGATATTAAGAGTAAAAGATATTTCTTGTCTTTTCTACTTTTCTTGCTCTCTCCCCCTTCGCCGTTTGTTTTAATTTTTTCTTTCTTCCTTCTCTTCGTTCTTTCTTTTTCTCCCCTTTTCTTTGAACCCGATGTACGGGGCATGTAATTCAGCCTTCGGGCTGTGAAATATTCTTCGAATAAAACCCATGTATTGTTCTTCCCCTTTTCTATTTTTCTTTCCCTCTCTTTCCCCCTTAATCTTTTTTTGTAAGCGGATAATTTAGAAAAAGAACGTATAGAACTGTTCTTTTCCCATCGCAGCCGCCGATGAACAAGAGGCGGAAAGAGCTGATCGCGCTGGCCTTCCGGAAACTGGACAAGACGGGAGACGGCGTGGTGACGGTGGAGGATCTGAAGGGGGTTTACAACGCCAGCCAGCACCCCAAGTTCAGGAGCGGGGAGTGGACGGAGGAACGCGTCTTCCAGGAGTTCCTCAAGACATTCGACGACCAGAACAATCCAGACAACAAGGTTGGTAGGGGTTCTTTTTTTCATACCCTATCATGAAAGTTCATCTGTGTTGGTACGAGTAGTTACACGTTTTAAGATCCGACAAAAAGAATGGTTCTCATCTAGAGCTTTTGAACAGAGTGACTGGTCGAAAGCTCTAAGTGAGAAGCATTATTTGTGTTGGATCAAAATTTTAAGTTTTTTTTTCAGATTCTGTACTTGTATTTGCAAGGACATTACATTTAAAGTTGTCCAATGCATGTTTAGGGCTTGAAAACCATATTTGAAGCAATGGTGTAGATTTGGGGATACTTGTAGTATACATGTACATGTACTATTATGACAGAAATGAAGGAAAAATATCCTTTTCTTTTTCCAGATTACACACGAGGAGTTTGTGAACTACTACGCAGGTGTCAGCGCTTCTGTCGACCAGGATTCTTACTTCGACTTGATGATGAGAAACGCCTGGAAGATTTGAGGGCCAAACTGATACAGGCATTTGTCTATGCTGGTGGTGGTTATCTTTGTAAATACATTTAGCTAAACTAGTACTGCCTTCCAATATTCAAGCAAACAAACAAAGAATATATCATAACATGGCTATGTCACAATTATAAGCCCAAGACAAAGGATCAAAGGACAAGGCAGTTGTTCTACGCTTACTTATATAAGAAACAAACAGAAGGAAGAACAAGATATATATGAGGTATATTCAGGGACTGTCAGAGAAGACATTACGATTATTGTGACAGGAAGGATTTGTACTGACACATACACAGAAATAAACTTTCAGAAGGCAGCTTCATCCACCATCTTACTTCAGCTGCTGACGATGGCAGTCACATTACAATATATTGTTCTTTCCTTCCAATATCTACTTGGAAATTTGGTTGCCTACGACAACTTTGGCCTTTACTGTTACTCTTTTACTGTTCATTTTTACACATACATGTAAATAAATAATGATAAAGTTCAATTTTTAGCCTTCATAGCAGCCTTGTTGGCTAGGCTTTTTGGTTCATTATTTCTTGAACTTGTTCTGGGATTGTATTTTAGTACCCAGTTTCTAGCAGTCCCCAGCTATATTATGTGTGACAGTGAAACCTATGATGTACCCCAAATCACAGATACACAAAACAGTGTAAGGGAGGGTCAGAGTCTATATTTGAAAATTCTATTAACATCCATAATCTTTTATAAATGACATTATAACACTTACATGTACTTTCTCTAGAGGTAGAAACAAAATGCCTCTCTTATAAACGTACGCAAATATTACGTGCTGTAAAGTGATGATATGGATATTCACTAGAAGAATTTTGAGTACAGAAAATATTCAAACATTCAGAACTGAACTGATATCGTTTACAGATAACATAACGAATCGCAAGAAGCCTTTTATAACAAAAAAGTACTACATATAGTGGAATTTTTGGTGTTAGAATATGTTAAGTGAGGGACTGTATGATTCCTTAGCATCACATTTTTGCCATTGCAACACAAAAGTCTAACTTTCAACATAAAGCCAAACTATCTAATGCTGGAGGATGGGGCCCCTTAAGTGTAGATCTAGGTCCTGTGGTATTCTCATAATCCTGAACAGTGGCTATTGTCAGGTGGCTATTTCAGCAGCAAATGCAAATCATGGCAGGTATTGTAACAATAAGTCATCAAACAGTCCCTTTAAGAATGAAGCCTTTTCTAACCCCCCAACAATGGTTTCTTAACCATACCTTGCCAACACTGTGAGTTAGGAAACAGAAGTAAACGGTACACAGCTAGACATCAGGCAAAATAACTAATGGTCCCACAACTCAACCTGCCAATAACCTAGCCAAAAGAAACCTCTGTGCATTACAGAGCTTACTGTATAACATAAAGATCACATATAATAGCAATAGCAGAATTATAAAAGGACAAGTCTACACACTGTAGCCAATACTGACTCCATCAATTCCATGTATATCAGAGAAAAATTCAGCAGATACAGAGCTGGACGTGTATTCTTATGACTTTCATGTTGTGTCCAGATTAATTTCCTGATGGATAAGAGAATTGTCCTGGATATGAAATTAGTCATTTTAAGATAATCTCTAGGACCTACCCAAAAATCTATAGAAACTACATGTACAAATAGTCATTATATACAGACAAGGGGCATTCTAGCCATACTGACATTTCATCTGCTGGAAGGGGAAGAATCTACATGTACATGTTAACCTCCTTCTTGCCAAGGGTTTGTGTGACAAACACTGTTTTGGATATAACTGAGATAAAAATTCTCGATCAAGAAAAGTTAACAAAAGTTAACCATCAACCACCAAAGATACGAACGAAAAAAACAAACTAGTTTTTAACCTTAAGCACACTGAGTTCATCGCATGCACACGCATGGAGTGCTGTTATGTAGTGAGTGCTTGGCACAAATAGTACACACAAGAGAGAAGTATTGAGATATTAAGGCCTCCGATTATCTGTGCCAGTTGTAGGAACAAAATGTCAGAAATATCAGCTATCCTATAAAGTGACACCTCTCAAGTCATGTTAAGGTTTTATCATATCTATCAAAAGGCTAAGTGGCACTTGGCCTATTTCAAAGAGAGACTGTTGTTTTGAATTTCAAATAGAAATTTTCCTCCCCCAACTCAGATTTTTTCCTGCAAAGTTCATGCAAGAAGTCTGTCCAAAAATGGTCAATGTTGAAGTCAATCTGACCGATAATAATCTTGCTGAAGTAAAATTTTGCACGTTTCTCAAAAATTCAGCCTGGCAGTATTACAGTACACTACAGATATTTCATCAAAAGTTTTCAAAATTCTTTCCCTCAAGTTGCATAAACACCACCTACTGATTCATTCTGGAATGACAGGTCAAGTGCAAGAAAACGTGAAATTTTGTCATACTTGATTATTGGGCCATCTAGCTAAAATTCCCTCCAAGCTAACTTAGACATCATCTCCAATCATGTTCCATCTTTTTCCTTAGCAGTAATGCATCTAAATCAACATCTTATTGACATCCGGATAGTAAAGAATTTTTTTCTACTACACAGTGAAATCCAATTAGTCTATTTTCAAGTACTAGTATGATCACTGTAATAAAAGTGCCATCATAGGGATTTATAATAGAATTACATATTCGACAAAGGAATGCTGAGTGCTCAACAGAGCTTTGTTCACATAGTATTACATACTAGTACATACTCAGTGTGATATTAATTCATCTGAAAATGATACAGATCATAATTAACTCTTCTGCTATTTAATTGTGTTACTCTTGTACACTATTCAAGGTAATCATAAAGAATCTGTAAGATTTTGCTGCATTTTTTAGTGAAACATGAAGCCATAAATTTACAAGCTGTGGAAGGAGAGACTTTAAAGGCTTTCTTTCAGTGGATACAGACTATTTGAACATTATTCCTACACAAGTGGAACGCATTTCATCATTTCAAGCCACATTGTACCGATGTAGCTTGCCTCTATTTCTTTCACGAATGTACACACCCTTACATTCCTTTGTACATTCTATAAAATGTAAAGATAGTACTCTTTATGATAAGAAATGAGAGAGGAATAGGAGAGAGCCAGGATGTTTAAATTTAATACGTAAATGTATCTCTTTGGGGGTTGCTAAAAGGACAAGTCCATTTCTGTCTGAGGGGTGAGCGGGAGGATGTACATTAGTAACCCTCCAAAGAGAGGTTCAGGCTTTGACTTATTTTTGGCATGTTTCTAAGTCTTTTTATCTGGATTTCTTTTCGTGATGGAATTTTCGCTGGTGTTAAAAACATAGTATGCCTGAAAAAAAAGCCTAAACTTCTGCTTGGAGAGCATACATTAGCATCAGCATGTCGGCAGAACACACTGCGCCTGCGCGAAACCCTGATTTTTCACGATTTTTGCTGGATTTTTGGTCAACTTTGCATCCAAATTTTGCCTGTTGCAGACAATATCTTTTACATTCTGCCGAAGTGCTATGCACAATACATCACAGGTTTTGCGCAGGTGCAGTACGTTCTGCTGATGTGCTGTTAGTATCCCTGGAGTGTGTTTTTCACAGTGCTATAACTCTTCATGAGTAAACTCTGGGTTGGTGGGCACCTCCTGAGTGCACATGGCGGGAGTCTCGAAGTCAAACACGTACTCACACCTGTTGGGCTCCGAGGCAGATAACAACTTGTTCTCTATGCCGCATGTCATTCGGACCTGGGGGACAGAAAGGTAGGAAAAGGAATTTCAAGGTGTTCTCGATCCAGTTTCAGCTGGATCACATTCCAGCTAAAACCGGATGTGAGGACCATTGGTAGATTAGCTCACTGAAGAGCTAATCTCCCACCGGTTGTGACACAGAAGACAAACACTATGTACAGTAATGAACAGTGGGCCACAGCACAGTCTGTATCAAAACATAGAGCTGTGTACCCGAACAAATTCTAGGTACAGGTACAGGTACATGGGTTTAGGTACCTAAACAATTCGACCAATTAACATGTTCTTCTAAACTCCTTCAATTACAAGTTTTTGTTTATGGAGAATGCTCAGACAAAATATGGGCAAACCTAAGATGTCCCTACCTCAGTCGACCTGTCCGGCCCGTTCCAGCAGTTCTGTCCTTTAGTGTACTTCATGGCGATGTACTTGTTCTCCTCAGGTCCTGCCCACTTCTCCCACCGTCTGGGGCAGACACAAAAAACAAGCTGTCAACTCACACAATTTATCCAGGGTTCTCACCAGAATTTTTTCACAGGGGTCAGGTAAAGGGGGACAACTCTCTCTTCCAGTCCCAAGGACATGATCACAGTATTAGTATGGTCTTGTATTCTCCCCAAAAATGTTTAAACTCAATCCCCATGAGACACTATTTCCTGCATGTACAGGACAAGACATGTTATTACATTTAGTCTACAAACAAAAGTGGACAACATTCAGCAGAAACAAATAAAAATCCAGTATGTAGGTTCTAGGATTTTCTAGGAGATCTTTCTAATTTGGCTAATATGATGTGATAAAACACTGCAAATGTTTCTGCATTAACAGCTGCACCATTTTCAAGCCAAACTAACAGCTGACATACTGACCCTAACGTAGTCTCAGAGCCGCCGTGTTTGGGACTCTGTGTGCACTTGTCGAAGGGACACAGTTTGTACTTGTACTCCTTCGTCTCCAGCTCAAAACACTGCCCGTCCAGGGAGCTGTACTCAGACTCAGGACCGAAGTCTGTCCCCAGCTGCTTCTCTAGTTGCCTGGTCGGGGTGGGAAGTTAGAAGAGATATATATAGAATACAACACGGGGTATTCCGTATCGCCCGAGGTACCAGCCCGACCGCGCGTCGGATCGCCCGACGGCCGAAGGGAGATCCGATCCGCGGGAGGGCTGGGACCGAGGGTGATGCGGAATACACCGTGTTGTATTTTATGTATGTCATACCCACCCAAGAAAACACGCCTTTCAATGCGAAATGAGCAAAAATTTGGTGTCCCTAATCCCAAAAAACGCAACAACGTCAATTCCAACGTCCGAATTTCGCATTCGAAATTTTCGAAAGCGTTGCACGCGGTTAGGGCGAAACGCGTTCGAATCGTTCTATGGAACATTTGGAAGGGCCGGGCCGTACGCGTTAAGAACCCCCAGGCTGTACCGCTAGTTATCACACGGGCCGGAACACCCGTATCGAACGTAATCGCGGCCCAGGTAGGACATAAAAGAGAGTATCACCGGACATAAACTGTATTGTATATGTTGGCTCACTGGAATCAAAAGTCTTTAAAAAAAAAGAAAAACAAGATAATCCCTGCTAGCCAACCCTAATTTTTTCAGGAGTGATACAGGAAATAACTTTTTTTTCTAGGCCTCATCAAGCTCACCTAATACAGAATAATGCAGTTCACCTATGTCTCAGTAGGTGGCACTACTAACCTGATCTGTGTATCGATGTCGTTGACTTTCTTGTTGGCTTCTGTGTACTCTGCCCTGGCCTGGTCTGCAGCTGTTGTCATTTAGAAGATTTTTAGTGTTAAAACTAGAACAAAACTGTATTATCAGATAAAGTTTCAGTATGCAAAGAAAAAGGGCTGCTTATAGTTTTCTAGAAGTTGTATATTATGATACATAAAACTTAAAAGCAGATCAAATAATTTGAAATCCTTATCTTCACTTGTCTAACTTTTGTTTGCTTTTAGACTTTAAAAAAAATTGTCTTTACTAATTTGCAAATCAATCGATAGTTCGTACTTATAAACCTGCTTATCTGATAATTACTCTCCAGTGTCACTGGCAAAAGGAAGTGGATGCTACCTGAAAAGTCTGACCGTTTCCAGAACCATATACAGTTGCTTGAGAAGCTGTTTTTGGTGTACCAGAAATGGTATGTCACAAACCTGCAATCAGCTGTTTTGTCTCCTCGTCGTATTCTGGCATCTCATCCTCGTCTGGTTTGGCTTCGTCTTTGGTCATGTCAACATCCGGCTCCTCCTCCTCATCTGGGTAGTCATCATCAAGGTCATCATCAAGGTCGTCATCATCATCTTCATCTTCTACCTCATCATCATTATCATCCTCTTCAAAGCCTAGAAATGTAAATATTCATTCATTTATTTTACCATTTAAAGATTGTTCTGCAAAAATCTGTGTAACACAGTTGTATAAAAATATATAAAGTAACTCAGCACACTTCAAAGAACTACTTTAGCAACCTTTGACACTCAGGAACCTAAACATACAAACCATCCTAAACCAAAACAAAATTTCCATGACAGAAGTAAAAATGACATGAAAACTTTTCATGGAAGATTCAAACCATTCTGTGATGGTAAAAACCATTCAGTTTGACTGAAATAACTGTTATTAGCAATTTCTGATCAATGTAGCCTTCAAACCACCTAAGAAGAAACTTAAAACAAAGATGAACCTACGCTCTTCTTCCTCCTCCTCTTCTCTCTCCTCCTCTTCATCTGTGGGAGGGGGTACCGGGTCTTCCGAGGGGGGCTCATCTGTGTCTCCTTTTGTAGGTTCCTCTGCAGGGGGGGCCTTTGCCTTGTCCTATCATCAAAACATGGAAGTTTATATCATGAAAAACATTCTTGCATCCATTGTGGAGGTTTTATCATATTACTATGCCTTTCTTCTAATGATTCCTACCAGTATATGTGAAATCAAACATAGAGGCATTTTGTCCATAAGAAAAATAATGTGGAAAATGTTATGATGCAAAGTTGGTACTTTTTTTCTCTTATTTACCATTCCATAAATATGCTCTTTCCATTGTATTCATATTTTAGCTAATTTCTATTATTTATTTTGCACAGGCAAAAAAGCGCCAGGTCCTGTCTTACCTTTTCGCCTTGGTAAAGGTCCTTGATTTTGGGCCAACTTTCTGTCAAAAAACGGTCCAAATCCACCTCCGTTACATCACCAAGATGGGTCTAAACATAGAAGGAGAAATGAGTGATGGAGAACAATTTGCATTTGCTTTGGAAATGTTTTATTTTCTAGTTTAATATCTGGTTAGGTCTTGAAAAACAGTTTATTTCTCACCTTGGCCTCCTCCTCTGTGACCTCTCCATCTACATCATCATCAAACTCCAGGTGGGTCTGGAACTCCTCCAGTTTTATCCTACAGGGAGACAAACATGCATATCGTAAATAATTTCATCGCAGGTTGGTAAATGATTGAATAGTGAAGTTCTACTTAGTGAATATTCACTACCATTTGTTTTACATGAGCCGACATTTCAATGACCATCTGTCAGCTTCATCAGGGCTAATACGACTGGTTTACTACATGCACAGGAGCTAGGTGTTACTGGTTCACTGTGCACTGAATCTAGGTGTTACTGGTTCACTGTGCACTGAATCTAGGTGTTACTGGTTCACTGTGCACTGAATCTAGGTGTTACTGGTTCACTGTGAACTGAATCTAGGTGTTACTGGTTCACTGTGCACTGGAGCTAAGTGTTACTGGTTCACTCTGTACTGAAGCTAGGTGTTACCATACACTTACAAGCCATCCCCATCCAGGTCCAGCTCAGCAAAGGCCGCTGTGCCGGCCTCCTTCTGTTTCTCCAGTTCTCTGGCAGCTTTCACCTCTGTAATACATAGTTAAGAAATACATGTATGTTACATTTCATACTGGCATGAAGATATACATCCTACATATGTTTGACAGGTAAGAATGCAATATTGATTGTAGTATGTCTCTTTTAAAAAATGCACTACTTAACTCTTAACTGTGTAAAGCAGCAAGGTTTTGTACTTTTGTAAAACAACTAACAGGCTCAGACCTTCCCAAGCCTTCTTGTGCTTGTCCACTGCTTCCTTTTCTGGTGCCTCTGCTGCTTCCTTTGCAGCTGGAAATCAAAGTGAAGTCAGTTTATAGGGTAAAAACCTCGTCATAAATTTCTAGACATTATTTTTTGTTGTTGTTAGTTTAGTGTTCTTTCCTGAAATGATGGTTAGAGTACATAGCATGTGTCATTAACCAACCTTGTGCTTCTTGCTTCTTAGTCTCCTCAACTTGTTTCTCTTCCTTCAAGGCATTCAGTTTGGCCTAGAGAGACAAAAAACAAAGTTCATCACACACCGGTATTAATACTACACAAATTTTGTTTTGTAGGAACACTGGTGGGCTCTACGCACTCCGTGCAAGAGGACTGAATAAGTAAGTGAGTACCCTTGCCTCAGAATAAGGTTTAACATTGTACTATGATTACTGCCAACACTGATGAACTTCTATGATACACTGTGTAGTATTCTATAAAAGATTCTGATACCAACCTCCCTGTCCTGCCTGACTTGTTTCCCATCAGCCACCAGGTTCTGTCTCATCTGGAATCCCTTGTTGATGACCTCCGCTTGTTTTCTCCTCTGCTCCAGTTCCACTGCACCCATCTCCCTGTAAACAACAATCAGAGTATAGACAATGTTGTAGCACCCTAGCCACCTCAAACCACTGTATGCTATGCAGAAACTTTTGTAGTGGTTTTAATTTTGCTGCAAATATATATATGTGTTTTATACTTAACCAACAGGACAGAGACAAATAGCATGTTGCCATCAAGCCTCAGCAAAGGTGTGCAAGCATGTTCAACTCACGGAAGAAGGGGAACAGGCACTACATCGGATGGAAAGTGTGAGTTTTACTCTACTACAGAATTCCATGAACTTCAACCTCCTTTGTCTCCTAGTGTGTAACAAAACCTTTTTTTACCAAGCAAAGTAAACAGCTGTACCTGCACTTGTCTTCACACAGTATCAGTCCACTGTACTCATCCGTACCGTCACAGCAGTCTAACAAACAAACAAACAAACAAACAAAGGTCAGACAGTCATATAAGTATTACAGGTCTTTGCAACCTGAAAGTTAACTGTGCAAAACCAGGAAACTTTATTTTGTGACAATAGTATTGTTCAAACAAGGTACATTTTGTACAACATGTGGTACTAGTATCTAAGGCTTGAGTAATACAGTAACACATAGAACTATTAGAAGTACTCACCACAAATGCCATCGTTGACCCTGGATGAAGGGATGGTTTTGGGAGTGAAGCCCTTGTTACTGCAGTAGTACTTCATGTTGGGACAGGCAGCAGTACCTGGGGTTGAAATGATTTATTGGAATTATAACAATACAACACATGTTGGGACACAGGCAGCTGTTGCTGGTGTTGTATCTGTATCTGTATAGCCGCCTTTCAGCATAACACACCAGCTTCGCAGGCATGTGGCGCGGCGGCAGCTGGCTATATTATACCGATCGACTTGTTACACCTAACCCACACATAGAATATTGCAGAATAATGCGAATACATAGCTACACACAAATCACAATAACACAGTAACAATGTCAATAAAAGACTAAGTCTCACCCGGTTCATCAGTGCCGTCCTTACAGTCACAGTAATCATCGTTAACCTGATCAAACGGGATCGTCGCTGAGCCGTCTAAACACGTGAAGGGCTTCGACTCATCGTAGAAAGGTTTATCTGAAAAACACACACAAGGGAAAATGCACACGTGTAACAGTGGGGTTCAAGCGCCGCTAACTGACCCATTCTGGACCTTTTGGAGTAGTCGTAAGCGCGCTGGGCTTGTAAGCTGGGTTCAGTGCGAGTTCGATTCCTGGGAGTCAGGGGTTTTCTTGTTTCTACTTGTTCCTAGTGTTTCACATGTTCACATTACCATTGATTTTAAATAAAACTCAACTTAACTGAAGATGTAAACACACATGACAAAGTTAATTGGTTACAACTTACATAATTTTGTGTTACAAATGTACGATTACAACAAAACTATGACATGGGCCCAACAGGAAGATAAAAAATTTTTTGGCAGTTCAATTCAGCGTACCGTAATATAATGAATTCAATGTAAGAGACTATATGGCAAACAGCCTGATGCAAGGTCATTATCACCGATAAATTTGGCAACAACACCCTAATACTCGCGACCGGCGATTTAAAGTAGGTCATAGATACACCTGACTGACACTGAACAAATTTTAATAGCGGGAAACCATCTGATGTAGTGCTGTAAATTGTAGAAACATTGTGAATAAAAAAACGACGAATGCAGAACGAAAGGCAGAGCTCCTGCGTTGGCACATGGAGACATTTTAAGCTGTAGAAATCTCTCTGTAGAGAGGTAAGAACATTACGGTTTAGTTTCCTTTGTGAGCCTTTTTCAGCACACACACAAGTGGGGAGGGCGACACGTGTACACGACATGTTTCAAAGGTACTTACGTAGCAACGACACTCCCCTCGGCCGCAAAATTTCTACCGCAGCTGTGTTATAAAATGGACTAACTACGTGCAAAACTAGAAGTGCTAGCAACATTTCTGTGTGAAGAAATGAGCGAAAATTGCACAAAATCCCTCGTACACATCGGACTGTTTCCGCCATCTTGGGAAATTTGGCTCTCGTGCGCAGGCGTATGATTTGTGAGCTGCTGATTGGTCAACAGTTACTTTCTCTTTCCCAGGGTTCTCTGTGGCAGGTGCCCTGAGAAAATGAACCACCTGCTATTAAAAATTTCATAAAACAAACAAGGGGACAAAACAGCGTCCAAAAAGCTTGGATATTAGCTTGTTTAAGACTACCAAATTGCGTCCGATTGCTATAGGTTTAAAGGTATCCAGTACAATTTCATGGCGGCAAAAGTAGATTTGAATTGCAAAGAAAATTTTCTGGTCATTCTTTTCATGTAGCAAGTTGAATCAACCCTATCCCATAGCATACTGATATTTGAGAGACAAAAAGGTAATGTCACCGATGGAAAAAGGTTGCTTGTTTTGTATTGTAGGCTGGTTCTAGCTATTTATGGGCGGTACCCAAAAAATATTCGTACCCATATGATTTCGGAACGCGTATCTTCATAAATTATTCAAAGCGTTCATTAAGATAATGTCGACCAAAGCGTCCATATTGATATCACATCTTTAGCATTAATAATTAATGGGTACAAAAATTGCTACACTGCAAATTAGACATTTCATAGAGCATCTCCAATAACAGTGCCCAAAACGGTACTTTATGTTGATGTGGCATCGAGTTGATTTTTTGCCAGCTAGTTTTCAGAGCAATTCAAAATTACCATCTCATGATCAATCTTCTCTATTCTCCTTTAGCGATAGTAAGTTGATATACGGTGTTTGCATTCTGTATGGGTGTTTCCCTATTAGAATGTGTGACCGTGTGAATGGTATAGGACCACACCCAAACATAATAACCACTATGATTATGATGATATAACCACTACCATTCCATCACAAAACGGTCGGGCCATTTTCTATTACAGCACCGTCAAATTCCTCTGAACTGTCTGTGTTGGAAAAACTTTGGAACACACACAACATCCAACAGGTATCAGTTGGCATTTTGTGCATATGTTCTACCCAGTTCTTTCTGCACTAGCACTCTCACACAGGTGATGTAGTGCCCTACGGTAAACTGTGTATACAGATATCACCATACATGTCAGTCGGGTCGTCTTAAGCATTGTGGGCCAGTGATGTGTCTCTGTTGCGGACATTTTGCCGAGGAGTCCAGTATTGTCCGTTACTATTTGTTCTATGCATATATGCCTATGTACTAGTATTTTCTTGTCTTGAAATAATTTGAATATTTTTACAGGTAACAATGGCGTCCTACTTGCCAAAAGTCAACAAAAACAACACGACTATCCTTTTATCGGGGGAGCACGAGCAAAAGCTCAGACAGTGGCTGAAGAAGCCCGCGTCCGACTTCAAACTGCTTTTCAAGGCGACCGCGAACACCTACAACGCGCAGGAATTCCACCGACTGTGCGACAACCAAGGGCCGACCATCGTCGTCGCCTATAGCAACGGAGGCGACGTTTTCGGCGGTTACGCCAGCGTGTCGTGGCGCAGCGCGGGAAGACACGTCACCGCACCGGGGTCCTTCCTCTTCAACCTGAAGAGCAAGGTGCGCTTCCCGCTCAAGCTGCAAGGGGACGCTTCTGCACTGTACGACGACGGGGCCCACGGGCCGACGTTCGGCGGGTACGACTGGGTGTCCTTCACGGGTACCGGGATGAAGTCCTCTCTGCTGGGCCCTTCTTACTCCCGGGTTGAAGCCCAGGGAGCGCGGTGTAACATCGGGAACACCTACTCCCCGCACGCCACCGACAGGGCCGTATCGTACGAGGAGTTTGGCGGCCTGGAGGCGTACGGATATCTGACAGGCACCTTCTGTACGGACCTGGACTATAAGGATATTGAGGTCTACACCATCAGAGGTGAGTTGTTGAGTTGGCTGATTGGGTGGCACGTTGGGTAAAATCTGTCAAGCCCCTGCCATAGATAGCTGAATAAGGTTGGGAGCAATATGGTTGGCTGGTGGTTGGCTAGTGCTGGGTAGTGACGCGGGTGGCATTGAAATTTGACTCAAATTTAAGTCACATTTGATTTAATTCGTGTAGAAAGGTATCCTAAATTTAATCAGACAGCTCCTGAACGTGGTCCCCTGGTGGTCTGGAAAATTCATCACAATAAGCTGTGACATCTGTCCTTGGTGCTGAAATCGTTAATAAGTTGTTGACAGGGGCTTCACCGGGAGGACACGTAAGAAGGGTATCATAAACAGTTTTTTTTTGCTGTTTTGACAGACAAGCCGGTCTTCATCGGTGGAAGACGAGCGGAAGCCAGTCCAAGCGTGCCGAAGCTGAAAGAGACCGCCTGGAGGACGATGGAGTGGACTGTTAGGTACGTCTTTCCACTAAAAACTAACCTCTCATATGACTTACTGTGTCACATAGATCATTCGTTCTCCTTTCCGTATGCTGTTGCTGCCAAGTTTAAAGCACTGTCTATATTGTTCCAACACAAAAAAGCTCTCACCTAGAGCTTTCGACCAGTAATTCCGATCTTCTTCAATAGACTGACCCAGTGAGACTTGTCACGTGGTAAACGATGTCGGCCCCGTCTCTGAATTCTTGTTTTCTCAGTGCAAGGGATGAGCTGGTCCGAGAAGTGACTGAGTATCGCCCCCTGGACAGCACGAAGGCTCCACAGGCACAGATCCTGCTGCTGGGTCCTGCCGGAGGGGGGAAGTCCAGCTACTTCAACACCATCAACTCCATATTTAGGGGGCATGTGACGTCACAAGCCGTCACAGGGATAGCACCGCATAGTCTCACCACCAAGGTATGCTTCATAGTATTCTACAAGAAGATCATACGGCGTTCGGTGGCTAATGGGCACTCCTATGGCCAATGAATGATCTGCTTGGAGATTATGCCACCGTATGATCTGCTTTGAGATTATGCTTCACACATTCGCAGTAATAGTGACATTTTACTGCCACTTATTAGCAAATTTTCGGTGACAGGAAAATTGACTTTCAAAATCCAGTTTGACTGCCCTGAATTGAAATCAATTTGGCCGCTTGTATTGCCTTAGCCTGATGCTGCTGACTGAGGGATGCTACGGCAGTGCACAGTGTTCAGTGCCTAAAAGTGGTCTATGTGGCTTTACACCGAGCAAACCTGCATGGAATTATCGTTTGTATACTGGATGTTTCCCCCACAGTTCCGTCGGTACGAGGTGCGATCTGGGCGGGGAGGGGGTGCGCTGGGGTTCCGCCTGTGCGACACCATGGGCCTGGAGGACGGGCAGGGTCTGGGCGTGGCAGACATACCCTACCTGCTGGGCGGGAACGTACCGGACAGGTACCAGGTGAGAACGTACGGTTGTTACCTGTAAAGTTGACCAGGTGTAAACAGTCACATTTCAAATACTATGGCCCTTTTCCCACTAGGATAAAACTGTCCGGATAGAACAAAATAGATTGATCCTGTCAACTTAACCCCAGTGGGAACGCTCCCGATCCGGCTTCGACGGATCGAGCCGGATCAGGAGCGCTCCCACTGGGGTTTGATTGACCGGATGGAAACCGGCTGCCAATCTATTCCGATCAATCCGGACAATTTTATCTTAGCGGGAACTGAAAGGGCCTTCGGGACTGAAAGACCTGGTTGTTGATCCCAACGCCCCACCTAACTCGGCCGTCAAAACCTAGTGTGAGTTGCAAAATAAAACTGAGTAAGGATAGGTCTATAGGCAATGCTTATCTTGTATTTGACAAATATCGGTAGACAACGATACAACGTTTTTATTTTCCTCTTTGTTCTAAACCAAAGTTCAACCCAGCCGTGTCGATCGATCCCAGCATCGCCGGGTTCAAGGTGAACCCTCCGCTGTCCGACACGGTCCACTGCGTCACCTTCGTCATCGACGCATGCGTCATGAGCGTTCTGTCGCAAGGCATTGTGGATAAAATCAAAGGCTTAAGGACAAAAATCAACGAGCGAGGTTTTTATCTTTTTTAAAAGTGTTCTGGGTGTCGTCACATATCCTGATCCAGTTCTCATTTTCTTAATGCGCCCTTTACACTAGAGAGGGAATGAACCGGAATGCCATCTGAGTAAAAACTTTATTCTTTGCATATCTATGGATATTCGAAGTGTATTTCAGATATTCGTGGCCATTCTTGTTGTTTACCAAATGCTTTGGTCACGCTCAAAACTTTCGAGGGGAATTTGAAGTGAAGAAATATCGAACGGCATTCAAAATGTATGTTAACTGCAATATACAGTAACTCACTCTGCATGTATGATCACGTCCTTAAGTTCTGAACCTTTGTTTATAAAACGTTTTCTGTACACCCTGGTCCTGTACAGGTATCCCCACAGTGGTACTGTTGACGAAGGTGGATGAGATCTGCCCAGAGGTGGCGAAGGACCTGTCCGTGGTCTACAGCAGCGCGTGAGTTTGGAAAAAAAACTTTCAAATGAAGTTGAGAAGCCAAAAAAGGCTTTAGTGAAGAGGCGTACGCTTAAGAAATATTGCTTACTTGTTCCTTGATGATATTAGATGCTTAGAAAAGCTTAAGAGGTTCCTTTGTTTTCTTATTCTTTTCCTTATTTTTCTGCTCAGCCTCGTGCAGGAAAAAGTGAAGGAGCTCAGCGGAAGACTCGGTGTTTCTGTGTCCAACATTCTCCCTGTCAAGAACTACGCCTCCGAGATGGAACTGGACAGAAGGGTAACGTTTTATACATGAATTGGTCTGCAATTCATTTAACAGAATAAGGTAGCAATCACATACCTACCATTATGTTGTTCTTGAAGTCCCGAATTTGCTGTCGTAGGCATGTGCAATGGCCTTTTTTTTTATGGAAGGTGACAAAAAAAAATAGTTAAGACCTTACGGCGGATCTGCCGTTCAACAATCATCTGCCTTTTGGCCGAAAAGGTGATTGATAGTGAGTACAGTGCCATCACTGGCAAGTCTTGGACGACTCATGGGGCCTATTTAAACACATGGGACTGATTATCTCCACTCACAACTTTTACCCTTTGTTTTCTCCTATTTTACAGGTTGACATCCTGGCTTTGACCGCCCTCCGACAGATGCTCCGCTTTGCCGATAACTACTTTGACGACTTCGGCGAGGACCAGGAAGAGGAGCATGACGGGAGTGATGACGTCGAACCAACCGACATCATTCACGTGGCCAGAAATTAAACTTCGACCTCCCATCATGCATTTGCGTACGTCGTGACAAAGATATTTTTGAAAGGTTATTTATATATATATATACAAATGTATAGATAAAATCAGGCATGTGACAATTACCACCATTACACAATTAGCCTAATTGGTTACAATTAGCTGCATCATGTTGCAATTGTATAGTATGGGGGATTTAGACTCCTGCCTGACCATATAGATGAATGTGTTTGAGTAAGAATTAACAGAGCAGACCATATGCGAAGGTAAACATTATGGATTTGCCTTGCAAATGTTACCTTTCTAGTTTTCACTTTACTACTTTTACCGAGTTGTATAGACGTATCATAGGTCTCCCATGCTTCTTATGCAGAGCGTAGGGTGGTGCCCATATCCATTTCTGTAGCCCTTGGGCGACACACAGTTGTGCAATGCACTACAGCAGGGGGCTGGTCCGCTGGTAGTGCTGTGTGTTTGACCTCCCCACACTTTTTCTCATATGTGCTGAGTGCTAAGCAGAGAAAGAAGTGTGTACCATTTTTAAAGTCTTTGGTATGACCCGGCCGGGGTTTGAACTCACGACCTCCCGGTTACAAAGCGAGCACTCTACCAATTGAGCTATTGCACCGGTTAGACGTATCATAAACATACCTAAAAAGTGGCGCCAACTTGCCACAGTCGTAAACCTGACGTCAGAACACACACAGAGCTCTTTTACGTAAGGCCACACCGATTTAATTTTATGGATGACATCCTCTGAAGACCCCCAAACTAGTGCGCGCGGGCGAATAAAAAAAAATCCGGCCAAAAATAAAAATGCTACTAAGCCACAGGAATACAAAGCTGGTATTGTGAATTCGATTCCCGACAGTACTTAGCGACGTATACGACAAGCCGGCACATGCTGGCTTTTTTGCGGCATTTATGAATCGGTACTATACTTATGTAACGTTACTGAGTTCTTGAGTCGTGGAGCTTCGAATTCGATAGCCTGGGTGCTCGGCTCCGTTTTGTCGCTGACTACCATGGACTATCCAGGCCTAGAGACACACCAGAGCCTCGGTGGACGTGATCTTTTTTTTTTTTTTTTTTTTTTTTTTTTTGTAGGGCGACAGGCGAAAATCAATGCGCGCGCGGATGTCATCCATAAAATTAAGTCGGTGTGGCCTAACTTCTTCCGGGCAGTTTACTTTACAGTCTCATTCATATATCACTACACGAAAAGTTGGATTTATCAAAGGTAGTAAATCAGGCAATGTTTACTATGTATATAGCATCTAGCTTTACAATGGCAGTTAACAGACGTCATGTCCGGTAATTTCATTTACAATCCTTGTTGAGTCCGGAATCAGCGTACTTGGCTTTTATTTTCACCCATTGTAAAGTTCAGTAGTGCGTATTAAAAAAAACGAAAGTAAACATTACCCAACTTCACTGACTATTTGTATTTACTGCCTATTTGTAGCGCGAATTGGAAAAGTACTTACTTATGAATGTACCTAATAAGTTTTATTAGTTTATAACTGTTTTAAAAATGGATTGTGTGTGTAGAGCCTTAATGGGTGGGGGTCCGCGTAAACAAATTAGATTTGATTTATTATTGAAATTGCAACAGTGCAATGCACGCGGAACAGAGGCAGCTGTTGCTGGTGTTGTGTCTCGTACATAGAAATGAATACTGGACAGACAATACTCATCTTCACTTGAGTCTAGTGGAGAAAGGTTGCACAAGATCGGTGGCACGTCAGGACTCGAACCCGTGACCTCTTGATTCCGAATCGCGCACGCTGGCGCTACGACACACGACCCCACTAGTACTGTACTCGCCATGACACCCGACACTCCAGATCAGGTTTCCATGTTGACTGACGTCTCCACAACGACACCAGGTTCTCATTCAGGAAGCCTTGTCATTAAGTATCAATTTTCTCTTATGAGGTAGTATATATTTTTTTCTGGACCTCTGACCTCCAAATGCGTTATTTTTATTATGTATAAATATATGTACTTAATTAATCAGATTGATATAGGTTAAGTTTTTATGATTGTTCTTGTACTTCATATTGTATTGAAATTATGTGCCCTTTGTGTTTTGTCCTTATATGTTGACTCTCTAATATCAGCTTTGCTGCCTTGAGAGTCAGTGTAATGTCTTGTTGCATTTTCAATAGATAGATAAATAAATTCAGGAAGACATATCGATACCTTCTGTGACCTACGTATACATTTCTCAAAAGATGGCGACAACGTAGCCGTTTACCGTTTTAGTGATGGCGCATTCGGTATATATATATATGACCTTGGTGTTGCTCCCTTGTTCCCCATGTTCACTCCTGTTACCAAGTCTGTACGTGCGGTCAACTTCTGAATTTTACTCGGATGAGTCAATGTTTCGTTCCGTTTGTTCTGTCATTGAAAATTCTGCAAAACGTCAACAAAAATGTCTCCCAAAGCGCTAATGTATTAGTACCCATTGTATCCCTGTCATCAATCACTGATGGATAACTTAACCATGCTTACTGTGCTACGCTCAGGTAAAATTCATTTTGTTTGTTCCACATTTTGTTTGCTTCATCAATGAAAGTACAACAATACACATGTACGTCAACGAAAATTCTCATGGTATACCCCTCCGTAACGTCAATGGCGCTGATCAGTTTAGGAAAACATTCCAAAGGCGCTAAACTTGCCCACAAGGCGGGGTGATCGCATCACGGCGTTCCACCTGTGGATTTCGAGTCCGCCGCCCAAGCTAGTCACGGAATCGCTTTATTTACGATTGCTTGGCCGCCCGCCCATCATCCAGCCGGCCCTTGAGTGGCCAGTCAAGAGTTTGCGTTAACTTACACAGACTCTAGTCACGAGCGAATCAGCCAAACTTTCAAGTAGAGAGGCTTTCCGAGAAAAATTCAAGCTTCCCAAACCACTCAGCCGAAGAACCTGTCCGTTGTTAAGGTATCGCCTTACCGTGTTGGGCGTTGAATTTCTTTGTTCACGAGGGATTAGACCCGGTTCAGTCCGTATGG